GGACGGGACCCCCCAGTACACTGTTGCCTGTGTTGTTGCCCCAGGCAGCAGGCCTACGAGGCGCCAACCGGGCAACATTCAGCCGTTGTTGCTCTCAGGTCTAAGGGCTACGCTCCTGCCCGGGTCCTCTGGCCGACCGTTCAAGAAAGATTGGGGGTGGAATGCGCAAGGGACCTTGTTGCCATGTGTCAGTCATCCGTACAGTCGGGCAACATTTGCATTCAATCGAAACCGTTCGTGTAGGCAGGTGACTTGGGAGCAACACAGCGACAACGGGGCCCTTTGCTTTCACTCTATGGGCAGTCGAGAGGGAGTCTACGGGTGTAGGCTTTCGTTATCTTGTTGCCTTTTTCCCTGGCAAAAGGGCAAAAAGGGCAACAATAGAAACGGGGCCTAGAATGTAACAGACTGGCGCAGACTGCAATTAAATAAGCAACATTGCAACCCCTGGAAGCAACGGACAGGCCCCGTTTCCAACAAAGGCAACACGCCGAACGCGGCGCGCGGGCGCGCTGCAACAGAAGCTATGAGCAACAGACAATATCATATCGCAACAGGGCTATACGTATATGCTTAGGCGTGTTGCTCTTATGATTCTTCCAAACCTACCGGTCATCATGCCCAAGGCAACAAAGCAACAAGGCCTTTCGGAGCCTGGGCCCGCCTGACTTGCGGAGTGGGTTCGGTGGCATGCTCGGGAAGGCCTTGGAACAGCAGAGGTGGGCAGTTCGCTGGTCGGAAACCTCGAAGCCGTCATCGACATTTCCAACCGCCATCGACCGGCGCGCCGGACCGTCAATTATTCTGACCGGCGCCGTCCGATCGCACGAGTCTCGCCGATCGAACGGTAGATTAGAATTTTGCGATTATCGATGAAATTCAAGCACGGCGATCTTGACGGGTTTTACCCCGCTGTTAAAGGGTTAACCTATCTAGGGACATCCAGATTCCATGGTATCTCCGGGTCAAAAAAACCGAGCTAAAAAGAGCTTTGGAAGTTTGAAACGCCTTTTCAAAAAGGTGCAAAAGGGTATTTTCTAAGCTTTTCTTTGTTTTAATCGTTAGTGGTTTGTCTGCACCATACAAGCAATCTATGTATATTACAAATAGAGAATGGTTCATAAGGGCTCGGGGCTCCTTTTTGCTTAAAATAGATATGACGTTTTCAGTTTGCCTTCCTTGCAAACGGCCATTGCTCTGCAATGGCCAGGCCGGCAACAAACTACTCAATCCACTCCTAGGAAGCAATCTGCCGAAAGAACCTTGTATGTTCACCCACCACACATGTGCGACGCATGGTATATTCGGTTGCAACTAAACACCATCCTCTCCCTAACATATCACCAGTATTTGTAGTATGAGTATATATGATAGCTGCCAGCCGGCCGCCCTGTCAATGTCAAAATTAGGCTGCCTACGCATATTGCGCTGTGCGCTGAATCGTCGTCGGCACGGCCAATCCACTGCAAATGTGTCCCGCAATCAAGGTAGGTAAATAGATTAGCACCATGCGTGATGTACTCTGGTTCCAACTTGGACGCGCGGGCCGTAGTCACGTGGACTATAGGCTTCCCCTGGCAGACCGTGCTAGGAAACTGCTACACTTGTCCCGGGGATTATGCAGACTAGCAGATTGTCGAAACTCGGAATTTGCAATCAACTCGCGAGCGGCGATCTCGGAAGGAATGGAGTCCACGATCAAAAGGAGGGGTTCAGAATGAAGCCGTTCCTGTAACGTACAAGCTCGCAGCAAACACTATGTCCCGCTTGATAGCGGCTGACGCAGCCTCCATCTTCTGATACAAGCTCGAATTTCCAATCAAGCGCGCCGCGTTCTTGGTCTCCCTACACGTCTCGTCTAGCCTGACAATACACCGCACGATCGATCCTTCGGGAACGTCGGTCAGGGCGCAAATGTCGGAAAAGGGCGTCCCCTGCGAAAATCCACTTCCCATCACTCAGAACGGTCTCAATATCTTGTGGACATGAATGAAGCTTCAATACTGGAACAGTGTAAAGCAGACAGCCCAGTTGATATTCGTAAGTTGCCACTAACTCTCAAACCCAAAAGCCTTCCTCGGCCGGTACTTCAGCCAGTTTCGACAAAGATCTTGCGTATCCAGCCAACTTTTGAGTGGTTCGTTGGCAATCCGACGGCCAGATACTCGGCTCGCTACTGAGCGAGAGAGACATCAAGAACCAAACAACGTCACAGACAGCTCGCTCGGAGCTTGCTTCAAGAAGCGTCCGCAGAAACCGTCGTTTCGGACGCCTCACCTGCGCCCACTCGTACACGACCTCCATGAGCCCGAAATTGAGCGCTCCCTTGAGGTAATCGTCCGGCACGATGGGCAGCCCGTGGTCCGCCTGGATTTTGCCCAAGTGCAGCGCCGTCGCCGCCAGCCTGCAGCCAGCCGCAAAACGGATGGTCGGACAGGCACGTGGCAGGAATGTGCAAGCAAAATAACTGAAATTCTTCCGGTAGGAAGAAAATCTGCTCGGGTTGGGCAGACTAGGCGGCATCTCGCAGGATTCTGTAGGTAGCGTTCTTTGAAGCAACTGGCCGATCTCTCGGACACTTGATAGACGAGAGAAAGTGTGGTTCAAAGTCCGGTCGGATAGAGCCGAGGGTTTGAAGATTCGACACGGTGACTTTCAAAAAAACCAAGAACCCAACTGCCCACTCAGAAAGGAGTAGAGACCAGATCTTCCGCGTTTTTCCGATTTGATGACATAGAAACCCAACCTAAGGAGTTTTTGGTTCTTTACCAAGGCTAGCTAGTCCTGGTTGGTAGCTGTCAGAGCAGGCTGCTCGGAATCTGCATAAACTCTGCAAACGACACCTGTAAGAACAACGCGCGCACCTGTCGCGCGCGGCCGCAAGCGTGGCCGTCAGCTCCGGTTCGCTTGCGCTTTTGTCCTGGAACACGAAGGCGCTCAAAAGGGCGACCGCCTCGGCGGGTTCCAAGTCGTCCAGCTGATTGTCCAGGATCATCTCCGCCGCTATTAACTCGTCCCCACTGTTGACCTCGCACGCTACTCGGCCTTTTATCTGCACCACGCGCTCGGCGTCGAGGTAGCCCAGCTGCTGCAGGACCGCCACCTGGCGAACAGGAACCGAAGAGGAGTTCTGAGGAGGGGCGAGCGGGTTCAGAAAAGTTCCGAAGGTTTACCCAAATTCAGACTGGATGTCCGAGCTGCTGAATAAATCACTCTCCGCACGCAGCAATGGTAGTTGAGTGGATCCCGGCATTTCACTAAGACCATGTGCTCCAACGGCCGCCTCTCGGACGCCAAACCGGTACCGGAAGGTACCGCTTCTCCGCCTTGGGCTTCGAAGAGCTTGAGGTCCTGAGGCCTTACTGCTTGACCACATAAATACAGAACGCTCATGACCATGTTAATCCAAAGCTTGACCCCATGCTAACGGGACCGTGAACCCGTCTACTTCGCGGATCACCGGCTGCTCGAAGTCGCACATCTGCTGCATCTTCGCTCAGACGCAACGACGTTTCCGCCCCTCCAGAACTACTCAAAGACAACCCTCAAGCCAACCAACTCTGAAAGCGCTCACCCGGTGCCCGGTTGGCTGTTGAAGTCCTTACAAAGCATGGCTGGGACGCTGCCCCGAGCGCCTTCGGAGAGGGAGTCCAAGAAAAACACTCATGAATAGAAACTTTTAGGGTTCGGCGCTCACCCGCTGTTCAAAGTCTGGCATTTGCTGCAGGTTGTCGTCGCTGAGCTCGTGCTTGAGGTGGCGCACCCGCTCGCGCAGCAGCGCGTGCTGCCGGTACTCCCGGTAGTGACGTGGCACCACGGGACACGTGGCGCACGGATTGCCCGCCAGCGCGGCCAGGAGCGCCCCGCGCTGCGCGTACAGCTCCGCCGCGTCGAGGCTCGCCATCTTGAGTTCTGTGCACGGGAAATCGCATCGCCACGTCAGCATGTTAATCCAGATGCGACCGGGAGCTGCAGGCCTCATTGTTCTGACTGTATTGATGGTGTCAACTAGACTGGCAGTTCGAACGTGAGGCGACGTCAGAGCGAACCAAAGAAAAAGCAAGAGCGGCAGACCGTAGACTCTTCCTCGAATCGATGAGCGATTTAGCGCGTCAATTGCCGATGTCTGAGACTCCAGTACCCCAGGTTTGATGGACTTCCGCAGGGGTTAAGGTGGTCCGACATTTGTAAAAAGACGGGTCAAAGCTCTGCAAAGGTTGTAACCGAAACCCGCACACAAGCAAGAAGAGAGCAGGTTTTTCAATATCAAACGGGACCTCGTCCTGAGTGCTGCCTTCGTGTCAAACACGACAAGAGGTCACAGATAACCGGAGCGTGCTTACCCCGGGGCTCCACTTCTGGGAGCGGCTCTCCTGCCAGCTCTGCCTCCGCCAGCTGCAGCCGCTGCACTGCTGCGCCGACCGCCCCCGCCTCCGGCCCCGCTTCGCTCTCCAAGATGCGTCCCACTTCCACACGCACCTTTTCGGTAAAAGCAACGAGAGAAGGAAGCTTTTATCAGGTCGACTACACATCGCTCTGCACCCTTTAGGACACTAAGGAAAGAGGACTTCCTCTTCTTCGCATATAACACATTAGGGGCACGTAAGTTCTGTTTCGCAAGGTCACGACTTTGTGTCCTCGTAACTTTACATTAACACTATGAAACTCCGGTGCTTGATCAGAACCAATCAAAGAGTGCAGAAGCACGCAGCACTACTTTCGCTAGTACTGGTCGCCAAAAACGCCAACCCGGGGCACAGTGTTTCCGCTCACCTTGTCCCGCCCGATCGCCACGATATCCGATGCCCGCACTTCCGCAACGAAGTAACCGGTCCCCGAATTCTCGCCATGGTACGGCAGTGGCAGTTTCACAACCCCGGGGGCGTCGGCACTGCGCGCCCCGAGCTTGCCACGTGTCACGCCGTAGTCGAGTCCGCCTAGGTTGTCCCGCGCGCGTTTCCCGACCAGCATTCCTGCCCCGGGGTCCGCTTCTCGTGGCCGGGGGGTCGGTGACGGGGCAACCGAGGGGGGGGTTTGGGAAGAAGGGGGCAGCGGGCCGCGGTGCAAACCTAGCACTAAGTAAGATGGCAACGAGGGGGTGGCGCCTGAAGAGGGGGGGCGCGACGGGGCTTCCCTAAGTACCATTCCCAAGGTTGGAGGATGGTCCTGCGAAATATTGAGAAGAAGTTTGCGTCAAAGTCACTTAAAAGCCGGAGAAGTGATGGAGGCGGAAAGTAGAAATTCGAGTACGTTCTTGAGTGCTAAGAATGGATGGTGACTCAATGGCTTGTCACGGTGGACTGGCTATCCGGGCCTCCACACGCGAAGCAAACCTTTATCGCGATGTATAAAAGAACGTCCAACCTGCTTTGATTCCCGCTCTAGATGCGAGATACACAGAAAGGAAGCGATAGACCCATTCTATGCCCCGCACAAGGTGACGTGTCCTCACCGGCGTTTTGACCATGATGAGTCTGCCTGACGTCATCAGTGCCTGTCCTCCCCGCGAGCCCAGCACGGCGTCCGTCAGCTCGGCTGTCAAGTCCTCCACCTGGCGCGCGTACTCGTAGTACGCCGCAATGGTCGGGTCGCCCAAAATACACCTGCATCAGTACTTACTTTAGGCGACCAAAAGGAGAGGTTTGCGAGAGCTGGTCCGAAGGAGGGGCTGGAGCGGTTGAGGCACGGTCAAGGGCCAACTGGTTCACGTCCATACCGCAACGGATTCATTGCCAAGAAAAAGGGCGAAGGATGTTTGGGAATTCCGGAGTTTGACCGACTGCAAGTAGTCTCTAAGCGACCACAGTTGGTGATTCATACCCCACCAGCTTCTAGGAAGCAAGTTGCTGTCAAAAACCGAAGCTCCCACGACCGCGGGTAAGACCGTCACCCCAGGATCGACCTCGTCCGAATCTGCAGTAGACGGCTCGACGAGCCTGAGAGAAGATTTCTTTCTGGCGCTCTACGGTAAAGGAGGGGGCCTGTGCTCAACCTGGAGGACGTATTAAGCTCATAAAAAATATGCAGTGGGCGCCACCCACGTGGCAGCGCACTTACTCGATGTTGAGCTGATTGGCCGCGAGCGACGCCTCGTGCTGGCGCAGCTGCTGCTGCGTCTGGGGCAGCGCGCGCTGTGCGTGGAACTCGGCGAAGCTGCGCTTCAGCATGTCTTCCACCTAGCACAGAAACCAGCCAAAGGATGAAGTGTTGCAGGCAGCAGCTCACGCCTTCTGTAGGTCACACAAGGGCTTTCTGTAGCGTCCACAACTGCCTTCTGTAGCTTACACGAAGACAACGGAGTTGTTTGCACCCGTTTGCACCCATGTTTCTATCGAATTCACATCAAAATGAACAAAAGAAGCTTTTCACTCCGTTTGCAGAATCAACCGCAATGGCCTCGTTGCCCTATCACGCGCTTCCGATATTCTGAAAGCGCTCCTATGGTGCCGGATAGCTCCCGTTTCGACCCTCCAAATCACCAAGCGACCGTCTCAGAGTCCTCACCCTTCAAACGACACACGTGATCAACGAGGGATCCCTCACCTTGAGGTCCTCGACTCGCAGCAGGTTGAGGATCATGTTGTACGTCAGCCGGAACTGGCTCTCCAGCCGCGTCGGCTGCCCCGTCAGCAAAGTGCGCAGCGCCGCCTCTTCGGGGATCTCGTCCCAGCACATGAGAAGTACCGTGCCGACCTGCAGTGTTCGCCCACCAGTGAGAGTGCGCCACGTGGCAGAGCTAGGGTGCGTGTGTCTTGAAGGGCACCGTGCGGACTCATAATAGCCCACCGACACGACGTTGTGCGTGCTTTTGACTTCCACGCTAGCGCATCGGGCGCGCCCACCTCCTTGTGCCGCATCGCTTGCCAGCCTAGAACAAGAATGGAGGCCAGCTTCTCAAATAATACCTTCTGTCAGTAAAAGACTTCGCTTGGGCTGATGCCCTGCAAGACGTTAAGTCCCCATCAACATATCCAACGTACTCTTTTCGATGATCCAACAACTATTGAGGAAGTGATCAAAGGCAAGCCGACCGCCATGTCGCGGCCGCCGTGGCCGGGAATCTTCCCCGGGCGCTTCCTTACCTTGTCGAGGCCGCGCCTGCCGGCCCGCCCGGCCATCTGCGTGTACTCCCCGGGCAGCAGCGTCCGGAAGTTCTTGCCGTCGTGCTTGCGGACGCTGTGGAACGCAACCTGGGCGAGCAAAGGAACAGAATAACATGCATGAAAGAGAGCCAGCGAAGGCTGTCAATGTCAGAGCCCTGCGTACAAATCGGAGCTGTCAAGGCATCCCTGCTGCAAAGTCCGCCCCACAGGAGACGACAGAACAATGAAGGTTGCGAGTCGACCCGCGCTTGCAGCATGCCGTTCTGACGACGGAAAATTGCCGCGTCATTCCGAACCCCCGAAAGCGCAGATAAGGCGTCGTTTTACTCAAAAACTAGCCGCGTCAAAATTCTGTCGAAAGCAGCCGACACCTCAGAGGTGCCCCAACTTTCCAAGACAGACCCTTCACCCACGGATCATCTGACTTAGGGCAAAAGCGACATCTGCTACATGACGCAGCGCTAATTGCCTCACCGTCCGTGCGGGCGCGTTGACGCCCATGGCGAAGGTCTCGGTGGAGAAGAGCAGCTTGAGCAGGCCGCGGCAGAAGAGCAGCTCCACCACCTCCTTCACGATCGGCAGCAGCCCCGCGTGGTGGCACCCGATGCCGCGCTGCAGCAGCTCCTGGATGCGCAGCACCTGCGAATGATGATGCGTTTAAGCAGATGAGTCCTTCTGGCTTTGTTACAGGGGAGTTCAATGGTCTGTGCACACGTAGTTGTTAATCTTCGTGCGTTGTGCTGTCTGCTGATGCCGCGTTGCAATAGCTCCTGGATGCGCAGCACCTGCAAAAGAGACAATATGTTTGTCGGAAAGATAAGTTTGCCGAAGTGGGGTTTTCTCTTCTTACAAGGAGAGAAACGTTTGGGCTTTTCGAACCCTGTTAAGCGCTGACTTCAATGCATGTTGGTTTCCTGATGCCGTGCTGCAGCGGCTCCTGGATGCGCAGCGTCTGCAAGATGGAAAGATAAGTTCGCCGAAGTAATCCTTCTCCACACTTAAGAAGAGAATGTTTCGATTCTGTTGGTTCCACTGCGCGTTGGTTTCAATGTAGGTCATCTTCCTGAAGCCGCGCTGCAGCAGCTCCTGGATGCGCAGAACCTGCGAAAGGATAGATTGATCTGCAAGGCGAGCTGCCGAGTCGAATTGCCCCATAAGATTCTCAACGTACAAAGAGAACTTCCATTGCGGACAGAAGGGCTTCCTGGCAGACCGAAGCCCTTTCAAGTCCAAGTATCGACCTTTTCGAAATCATTGAGAGCGCTTCAGAAAATGGAGAGCGAACAAGCTCGGGGCACAGAAAATCGGACTTGCGCGCATAACCATAAGAACTTCCCTCAGAGCTCTGCATGAATCGTCCGAACCTAACTCGCCCTTACCTGCGGCAGCTTCCGGTCCGAGCCTTTGAGCCGCGAGAACGCCTTGTCGCAAAACCGGTGGATCTCGCTCTTCTCCGCGGACGCCGTCAAGTCCAGCGCGGTCAGTCCATCCGCCGACGAATCACACCGCGCTTTCGAAAAGCAGAATACGACGAGCGGCAGCAGCGACTTCTTCCGCAGAACTTCCACCATCGTATACCACTGCGACGTCTCCGCTTTCCACCCCCCTCCGGTCCCCCCGCCTCCGCCCCCCCTCCCATGCCCCCCGCTCGAACTTTGCCCCCCCCCTCGCCGGCCCCCTCCGGCAGCCCCCCCCCTACCACGAGCGGCGCCGGCCTGGCCCCCGCGTTGGCCGCCACCGCCCCCCCGGCCGTCTCCTGAACGCATTTTTGTAGGGATTATCAGGTCGAAGGGTTCTAGTCTAAACAGCCGAGAATCGGAGCCGAGCGAAACAACAGATGTAGATAGAACAGAGAGGCTTCCGAGCCAGAATGCGAGTGTCCCCTTACCCTGTACTTCGTATACGTTGATGTCAAGTTGTTGCTAACCACCAACCTCCAAATGAAAACCCGTTAAGACGGAACCAACTAGCGCCGAGCTTCCAATGAGCATCACAGCATAAGCGAAAAGTACGACTTGGTTCCACCCACCCCCAGGCGGTTTAGGAGCGTTTTTGGCTTTGTGGGCGGCTTGAGCGGTGCGGACCCCCGACGGGAGGAACGTGTCCTTCTCGCAGATCTTGTGCAGCTCGCCCGCGTAGTACAGGTTGTGCTCCAGGGGCACGGGCCGCTTGAGCGTGCTGCGGAAACAGAGGGCAACGGTCAGTTGGGACCATCAAAACGGAAACTGGGTTTGTGGTTTGAAAGGTTAGTGCTTTCCATTGGACGACCAGTCAACCTAAGATGGGTGCTAGTCCAAATAGCAGACGGCAGGGTGGCCCGCAACACCGGATCAGGCGAGTGCAAGCGGGGTCCCAAGTTGCTTGAGAGCATCCGTTTGTGGTTTGAAAGGATCGTGCTTGCATTGAAAGACCAGTGATCCTAAGATGGGTGCTTGCTAGTCCGAAAAGTAGACGGGCGGGGTAGCCCGCGGTAACGAATCAGGCGGGTGCGAGCGAGGTTCCCCGTTGTTCCGAGAGCATCGGTCTGTTGCTCCGTTACTCTAAGACTCCTGCGGTCGCTTGGAACATGCTAAGAACGCGAAATACATCCCGCAGCGAGCAAGTTGAGACTTGCAACCTTGCCACAGTGGTTGTCTTCAGACCCGATCTTCGAGCTCTTCGAAAATTCAGCACTACGGTTTGAAGCTAGACTCATCCTTCAACGGTCAGCACTATGATTGACACTAACGCCCTCGCTCACAACTCAGCACTAGTTGTTTTAATCCAACGCCCTCCTTAGAATTCAGGACTTTCAGCGAGACGAAGACCAAGGCCGTGCCGCCCACCTGGTGACGTAGATGTGTTTGCGCTTGGTCCTGCCGATCCAGTTGGCGAACTCGAAGGTGTTGGGCACGGTGGCGGAGAGCAGCACCAGGTTCACGTGCGCGGGCAGCATGATGATTACCTCCTCCCACACCACGCCGCGCTCCACGTCGTTCACGTAGTGCACCTCGTCGAAAATCACCTGGGAAAAGTTTCTCGTAACCTGTCTTTATCGTCGTAACCTGTTTTTGGTGAAACGGATAAAACGGTGCTGACAGTCTCGGCTTGCAGGTAAAGGGGGTCTGGGAGTACGACCACATCTACGTCGTTCACGTCGTGCACCTCGTCGTAAATCACCTGCGGGGTAAACAAGCAAGAAACTATTCTGAAGGTTGGTTTGGAGGTTGTTGAGCAGCTGGGTTTTGAAGCATGCGGGGGGTTTGAAAGTGGTACAGCCATTCTTGCACAGTGCACCTCGTCGACATTCACCTACGGGGAGGATTGGCACAGTCTCGAAGTTTCAAAGTAGGTTGTTCCGAAGCTGAGTTTATGAGTTCTGAAGAGACAGGATCACCATCTCTGGGGTGTTCACGCCTTGCACCTAGTTGATGATTATCTGAGAAACCGTCGGCTTACAATAAGTCTCAAGCCTGTATCACTTCACGGAATTCGACGATGACGGGCAAGGTTTTTGCATTTCGCTTGCGTATGCAAAACTTGCAAGAGTACGACTACAGTGCTCTCCAAATCGATCAACAAGATATCCACCCGAGAAGTGCCCGTTCGCCCGTCCCAATGCGGTCGGCCTCCTTCCAGAATCCGTCGCCGGGTTGTTGTCGGATAAATTCTGCATCCTCGCGTTAGAAGACCGGTTGTCATGTGCTCTTGACCAATCTCCGCGGACACTCACCCACTCGACGTCCCGGATGAGGTCAGCTCCCTTGTAGAGCATGGACCGCAGGATCTCGGTGGTCATGATGAGGCACGGCGCCTCGGGGCGGATGCTGACGTCACCCGTGAGCAGGCCGACGTCAAAGGTGGAGCTGAAGTCGCGGAACTTCTGGTTGCTGATCGTCTTGATGGGGCTCGTGTAGATGGCGCGCGTGCAGTGCTGCGGGGAGATCCGAGGGCCGGGATTTGGCCACGTGGCACGCTCACAGAGGTTCGCAAGAAAGCAGGAGAGAAACTTCGTTAAGACTTGTGCGGACCCGATGAAGCTCAGCCGGTCTGAAGATAACACGCAGAAGCCTAGGTCTAGTTTTGGTTACACCAACCACTACTGAAAGCGCTGCTTCGAAGAAATCAACTCGGACCCTTTACTGAGATCTGTCCCTGAACCCGTCAACTACACCTTCACGTTTCGGCCTCTGCTTGCAGCTATCATGACGATCCGTATCTGCTTCGGAGTGAGGCTGCGACAGTCAAACGTCCGTACTCTTACCTTGGTCGCTAACGCGAATGCATATTCGGCCACCACAGTCTTGCCGGCCGACGTGTGGGCCGCAACAAAGACGGACTCGTTCCGTTCCAAGTGGACGATAGCCTGCAACGCAAACGAAGGGCGTACTCTTGTTGCTCAAACTGCATCTGACCAGATGTCGCTCTGGGAGCTTCTCGCTGAACGAGTCCCTGAGTGGCTTGCCGCGCATGCCACACTTCGAGAGGTAATTTCAGAGCTTGTCGTTCCACAGCCAACCCTCGCTTTGGGTTTCCCTTTGCAGCCTCAGTTACCGAAACAAAGCGTCTGAAATTCAATGTCTCGGAGAGAGCAGGCGAGAGTGCAAAGATGCTCTTTACGATTGCGCAAGGGGAGTAGGGCGCACGTGAGAAATTGGTGAATCATTCTCGGCTGCGGATGTCGGGCGCTCACCTCTTTCTGGAAGACGTCCAGCTCGAAGGGGTACGAGTGCGCCATCTCCGGAACCAGCGTCGCAAACTGCTCCTGTAACCGCGGGATGCGGTCCATCACCGCCCACACCTGCAGACACGGTTAAGCGCGGGTTAATCGAAACTAGTTGGCTAAAAATGGGTTAAGCGGAGCAGCTTGACTACGGAGCAAGTGGACGCAATCCATCGCCGCCCGCACCTGCGGGCACGAGTGGCCGCGGGTCAGTCGGAGACGGGTTAGCTGGGGAGCCTGGTTAGCGGAAAACGGGTTCAAGCTTGGTGTTACTCACCAGTTGGCGGAGAAATTATCAGGAACGGGTGAGTCGGATCCGCGAAATATGCAAACAATGGCTGCGGCCAGGTGCATTTGGCGCGTGCCAATGCGCAAAACAAGATTCCGGATTGTCTGCCTAAGGTTGGAGGATTCTGCACCTGACCACTAAGCATTGATCCGATTTGAGGCCCCTTCTATGGCTTTCCTCCCCAATCCGGCCCGATTACATTGCACGAAGAAGAGGAGCTCGACTGAGCAGGTAGTACTCTTCCCTGCGACGCCCGCTTCCCTTGCGCCAGGTCCCTGTTCATCTATGCAGGAGCTCTTTCAAACTGCGAATAGTACGTTTAACAGTTCACCCAAGTCTGTTCCCTTACCATCAAACAGTCCGGTCTGTACACAACGCACATTCTGCTCCTGGAACAAACAATACAAAAGCTGGAGAATGGGCTCCTACCTCCTCATCCGCTTCTTTGTGCCGTTTGCGATAGTCCGCCCGCACGCCCTTCTTCCCCTTCTCCGTCGGCCACCACTGGTCCGAGTCCCCGCCCGCCAGCAGAGCCTCCACCGCATCGGCGGCCTCCACTGGGGGGCCATCGGCAGGAGCAGCTGTGGAAACGACAGCCCGGGGTTATCTACCGGACGCTAAACGTCGAAACTAAGGTTGCGTGTCGACCGAAAACCTACTTGGCCTCCAGTGTTGCCTTTGTAGCACCGACAGGTAGGAGGTACGGGTCTTTTCAAGCCAATTACCGGTATGTACCTTGAGTTAGCACGTGGATATGAAAAGCCATCCAATTGGCTAAGAAAGCTTTTTGAAGCTTTCGGTCGACACGCACCCTAACTCCAGATTGGTTAGGAACTCATAGAGCGATGTTTGCATCGGCGGAGTATCGGCAAAGGCGAATGAGGGAATAGCACCCGGGGGTTATCTACCGGACATTCAACCTCTAAAAAAGGTTGCCAAACTGGACAGACCCTCTTACAGCCCTGTATACGAAACTTGAATGAGGAGCAGGTTAAGAGGCAGGCTGCGATTCCAACCGGTCAAGGTATGTCCGCCTCCCCACTTGCCTCAGAGAACTCTCCGATCTGTGATCGAACAGGAAAGGGGAAGCACTGGTGTGAGCACCTCTTGTCAAAGGCTAAGGAAACGACAAATCACCGCTGCAATATCAAGTGCCGTAAAAACGCAAACGCTCCGCTTACGTTGCTCCTGCGCCGGCACGGTCTTTGGCGAGCGCTGGCCCTCCTCGGACTCTTCCTCGCTGGCGGCCTCCTCTTCTAGTTCTTCCATCCCGGAGAACAGGTCGTCATAGCTCAGCATCTGCGTCTGGAATACGCAGCACGAAAATTGTCAGCGACAGATCACTGAAGGAGAGGCAGTGCCATCTCGTTTCGGTGCCCTCCTACAGCGTTCAAAGTGGAGCAGGTTTCATCCAGTCTCCCTGGCAGCTCTTCAAAGTAGCGTTCTTTCCGTTCCCTCCGAATGTGCATGGTGTTGTGACTTGGCGTTCCCAGTTCGATGCAGTTCAATATTGATCCAAGCACCACTTTGAGGTATAACTTATGCGGCTTACCCTCACAATACAGTGCGAGAGAAATACACATAGTTGATGCAACCCGCGACTCTCTAGTAGGGACGACGCTGAACTTCTGTAACACAGTCTTATAGAATCATAAGAGGTCACAAGCTGGGGGCCGCAGTAGACCCCTTGATTAAGCTCCTCGAACGAACTTGCGAGCTCCCAGATACCTTCTGTAATTCTGCCTCTCAAAAAGTTTGAGGTCAGATACGAGCACTACGACAACTTATTCCCTCACCTGAACCTTCGTGACTTCAGCAGCATCCACCACCTGCAACAGGTCCGGCGGCGTCTCTTTCGCTTTCGGGGGGGTCACTTCCTTGACTGGCGCCTTGGGGGTGATGGGGAAAGCGAGCCCCCTAGGCAGTCCCGGGGCGACTGTTTGGAAAGGACCCCCCTGGAACAGTTCGTGGAGCCACGTGCCGTCAACTGCCCCCTTGGGAAGGGGTCGAAGCACCCCCCCGTCAACAGCGTTAGAAAGATCGAACCCCCCCGGAAGAAAAGGGTGGTTGCGGGTGCTGCCGCGCACAAAGTCCTCTGGCAGACCAGGGCGGCGCAGGAGGGAGGAGGAGCTGACTGCGTCAACGGAGGGGTCTTCCAGGGGGACCTGAAGGAGTGGGATTGGAACCCCTGTTACGATCCAGATACTTCCGTGGATCGGCAAAACTAATGTTACAAAGGCCAGGGGAATCGAGTGAGAAACGGGAAAGGAAAAGAAATGGAAGCCAGTAGAGCATGGGCTTCAGACTGGTGTACAAGGCAATCAGCAGAAGTGACGATTGCATGTGCAAGCAAATGTTGTCGTTTTTATTAATTGTCACCTAGATCAGGCTGCTTGAAGAGGTAGTCGAGTTGAGAAGGTATTGGAGTCGATCTTAAAAATGTGGTTTGAAACCAACTGTACTGCCCAAGAAACACCTCACGGTTCGACTTCGAATCAATTACTGGAATAGTGGTTGAGAAGGAATTGCGTGAAGGACTGGACATGAGGGCCTGGGGCGAATTATAGAGCTCCTGAGTTTGTGACCAGTTCGACTACTAAGGGAAGCACGAAGGAAACCAAACGAGTGGGAGATCACATCCCGGCTGTAATTGACTCCATGGCGCCGATGAAGGCTTCTGGAAGCGATCGCACACTCCCCAGATCTGAGACTCCCACCAGTGCCACCGCTGAGCCCAACACAAGTAAGTAGGAAGATTGTTGCTCCTTCAACCTCGCACCAGTGAGCTTTTTCGCACCGACAGGCCACATCAAAAGTCCACTCCCCCACCTCACGAAATGCTAAATCTTCATCGCCAATCTCCAACACCCTATCGTCTTCCGTTCCCTGAGCTGTCTGCCGAGGCCCCCCCCACACCGGTTCAAGCGCAGTGGTGGGGGTAGTGGGCCCCAGTAACGCCATGCTGCCCCGCCAGTCGACCTCCCAATGTGCTCCCTCCCCCGATGCATCGTTGCTCAATGCCACCAACAGCGCCTCTTCCTCCACTCGCTTGCACAGGGCCTCCACACTTGGTTCTGGCAACAGGGGCTCCTGGGGGAAACCACGGGGCCTTGTTTGGACGTCAGATTGACTTGGTGTGAGATTGATACTCATCTGGCAGTTCTGCATGGGCGTTGAAGTTTTCAAAAGATCGACTCATTTCGGGACACGACAGAAGTACATCTACAGTAGCATGGGCTGGCGATGATAGCGCCTTGTACATGTTGGAGATCAGAACATCCATCTACTGAGACGATGTATTGACGACAATACGATGGTGGTGGGCAAAGAATACGAATTCAGAGGAATGAAAGTAAGCGGAGAGTAAGAGTAGCGGAAAGTGTGGTGGCGCATGAGTAGCTAAGCCAATGATACAGAAGGAACGGCGACAGAGGAGACGACACAGAATGAGTAGGATTGGTGAGAAGGAGTGGTGGTGGTGGCGATCATAAGAAAGGCCTTCAAGATGGTGTTAGAAAGGCTCACAGGAATCCATGGCAGGAGAGGCGACTCTGCATTTGGGCGTGCCACGGGCGGTAGCCCATGCACCACCAGGTTTCCGCTGTACCCCCCCAGGGACAGCTCAAAAGGAAGCCGGCCGCCTGCACTCGGTGGGAGGTAGATTTCAGGCGGCGGGAGAAAGGTATCAAGTGCAAAAATCAACTTAAGGGGAAACTTTGAATCTTCAGCAGGGGGCTAAGAGAAGAGGGCGCCGCAACTATTCGCCTCAGGCGGTGGGAGAAAATTTGGGTGCAGCAAGCAACTTCAACCGGAGAGTGTGAATCTTCAGCAATGAAGAGTAGGTAAGGGAGCACTGCACCTGTCTCCATGGCCCCTGGGTGCGGGTGTGGTGTTGGTCAATCAATGCAGGAAAGCAGCATTGCGTCAGCAAGTGGCACTGCGATGGTGCAGGAGACAGTTGAGTCTGCCGCTCCTCATTTTGTGGGGGCTCTGATGAGGGGATCCTACGCCTGTTTGCGGAATTTACACAGCTCAGCTGCTCACGACATGCTGAAGAGCTAGTCAGAAGCCTTGCATGGTTTTGCAATCTGCTGATCAACTTCCTGCAGGTGTGGCAAAATCTGGGGGACTTGACACCGCGCGCGCCAACGCGTTTAAAACCGTCTTTGACCCTAAGTAAGAAGTTCGAGTTGCGGCCGCGCCCGCCGCATGTTCGGACTCACCGTCCATCGCGCTAAGGGCGGCCGCGAGAGCTCATAGGATGACGTCGCAGTTCCCGGAGTGAATGCTACTTGACGCCGCACGCGTCGATGGTCAGTCCCATCATCTCTGATGACCGTCGATTATGGAGAAGGAGTCAGGACCACCTTAAGACCGTACATTTCAATATGTTGACATATCTTCGTACGGTTCAGCCGGGCAGATTGCAGCTTTGACACAGGACAAGCTCCTTGAAATACGACATATGTATACAGCCCACAACGGCTGTGTCAATGCTCCGTGAAGTTGAGCGCGTCGGAGACTACCCCGATTGCGTTCCCCCTGCCCTAGTTGCCCAACATGTGTATCATCGACGGATCACAATCAGACAAATCTCGCATCGACGGCCAGAGAAGACAGGAACTGATGGCATGTGCATTAAATGTCAGTGTGCACAGTGCTCTGACTGCTTTCACGTGACCCGCGTGCCCATTGGAACAACCGTCGTGGAAACATGGCCGGAACGGCCAGGGGGGATGGATCTGAATTCTGCACCGGGACGATGGCGGCACCTCATGAATGCAGCCAGCTCCAGTTCCAGGCATGTACCAAGCTGTCCAAACCACATAAAGCCCAGGCTCTTCATGGTGGACTCTGACAAGCCCAAGAAGTGGTGCTGATGCTGCTGCTGGATTCGCATTTGTAGGGCACCTTGCCAGGTTCAGTTTACCTTCAAACTTCGCTCTATTGCATTGGTGGCAGGTGCTTTAGAGAGCCCCAAATGTGCATGTACTAGCCCTGCTGTGGATCCATATGCCTCTGGAGTTTGTAGCTCCTTCGCTGAGGACCCTTTTGATGCTCCTGTTGATATCCCACATTGATATCTTTCGAGTGAGCTCACTTCTCATCATTCAGGAAACAAACCTCTTTGGCTAAGTGGGAGAAGAGTCTGATTTGGAGCTGCTTGGCATATCTCAGCTCTAGGACGCTGGTTTCTGCGCTGTGCGCTGACCTCAGCTCGCACGCGCACCATGGCGCCCAACTCCGAACCACAGGGCGTTCCCTTGGGGAACTACAAGGAGTCGCCGAATGCTGGCCTCGATGATCCCCTGATCCTCAAGGTTGGCTACCCGCCAAAGAGGACGTTCAAGGAGGAGGTCACAGAATTTGTGGAGCAGGTCCACCCCCTGAAGAAGTACCAGAAGAAGGGACGAAGGTTGTCGCAGCAGGACAAGCTCAAGCTGGCGGCATTCTATGTCGCGCCCTGGCTGGAGTGGGTCACGTCGTACAAGCTGGAGTATCTGCGTGGGGATATCGTCGGCGGACTCACGATTGCAGTGATGGCTGTGCCCCAGGTGCGTGTGTAATGCTGGCACATAGTAAAAGCTGCGCGTATTCTAGTGCACCAGATTCTTTGCAATCACGACTTGGCTTGTCTTCTAAAGTTTCTACTTGGGAATTTGGAGCTGGCCACTCGTCTCGGATTCCATGAGTTGCTCAGAGCTTGATGTAGATTGATGTGCAGTGATCTCAGAGCAAGGGCTAGATGTAACTTACTAGCTTACACTTCTCGCTACTACTCGTTGTTGTGCTTGTGCTTGTGCTTGTGCTCAAGCCCCTTTTGGCAGAGCACAGTTCATGACTCAAGGCATCTGAACCTGACCCCTTTCTGCCACGCTTAAAAGCATGCCCTTGGATTCGCTTTCTGCACACATAAGTAGTGAGACCTTGTTTCTGTCTACTGCAGGATCTAGCCTATGCTGCACTGGCGAAGTTGCCGCCCGTCAACGGACTCTGTAAGTGCTTTGCATCTCTACTCACATCAGCATTCACAAGCTTTGTACCTTGTACCTCTAACGCCTTGCAGTCTCGGGTTTCTTACATCTTATTTGAAACTCAAGAATTTCAAAACAGCACCTTCAATGGGCGCCTGGTCAATTATGATAAGCAAAGAGGTCTTGAGTCACATCATTACTATCCCCCCTATGGGACCTCAAAGGTCAACCAAGTACCGCGCCTGGAGCTTCAGTTCAGGAGGGACCTTTCTGCACTTGGCTTCTCTTATGACCTCTTCATCAAGAAGGGGGCCTGCTGTCTAAACATAAACCTTCTGAACTTCCCTCTCAGACAGTTGAGGTTCATTCAAAAGATCACCTGGAATTCTAGCTGTGGTGTACTTGTGAATCTGGTCTGTAAGTCATCCTGGTCGTTTTTTTGTGGGTACAATTGCCGACACGCATCCAGCCTTTCCCAACCCCCAGCACCAGTGCATCATGCACCCCACACCCCAACTCTTCCCCCCTTCCTGGAGTTGCTAAACTAAACTGTTTTCCCCCCTCTTGCAGACACCAGTGTGTACCCCCCCCTCATCTACGCATGGTTTGGCAGTTCCCGCCACATTGCGGTGGGGCCTGTGGCTGTGGTGTCTCTCCTAGTGGGGAGTCTTCTGCCCAAGAGGATCGATCCCAAGGCCTTCCCCACTCAGTACCTGGAACTGAGCTTCCTTAACACATTCTTCGTCGGGATCATCCAAACAGCCCTGGGCTTTCTCCAGTAAGTGTTTTGCTTGTTGGAACAAGTGGCTTAGTAGAGAGCACATGTCAAAATGTTGGTCGTGGTGATGGAAAGGGACTGCTGAGGGGTCCTGAACAAGATTGCTGTGGAAATTGTTCCTTTCAAGTGAGAACTTGAATTTATCTGCATGTGTTTCTGATAGCACTTCGTGCGGCTAATCACCACAGTTCGTTAGAAGGTTTTCTCGGAACATCTCGACTAAAAGTCAGAGCTTGCTTTTCCCAAATTCCTGCCTAGTGAGACACTTCTTTCTGCTCCAGATAGGTCATTCAATTTTCTGGATAAGGCCACTGGTTTTCCAACTTTTGAGAGCCTGCCTTTGAAACCCTGCCTATTGAGACACGCGTTGTCTACCCCAGATAGGGCACTCATGCCGCTGAGACGGGTCACTGATTTTCCACTTTTCCAGGCAGGTATTTCGATACCTTCAAAGTTTTCAGTCACAGTGCATCCTCCTTGCTTCAAGGGTTTCTAGTTCACTGGCAGAACTTAGCGAATACTGGCTTCGAATCTCCCTCTCTTTGACGGACGTACCTTCCTCGTCGTCGAACATTTCTCCTCGTTGAACTTGTCACCATAGCTTTCAACTCTCAGATGCCTTCGGTTCACTCACTAAACTTCCTTACTAATGCATCTCTCAGGCTGGGTTTCGTCATCGAGTTCCTGAGCCACTCTACGATCGTCGGTTTCATGGCGGGCGCAGCAGTGACGATCGGAATGTCGCAGCTGAAGAACTGGTTCGGCTACGTCACGTTTACCAACAAGACCAACATCCAGTCCGTGATTGGCTCTATCGCGGATCACCCGGAGCAGTTCAACTGGCAGACCTTCTGCATCGGCCTCACCTTTTTGGTCCTCATCCTGTTCTTCAAGCAAGTGGTACGGAGTCTGCTTTCGCCTGCTTTTTCCCTTTCGATTTCATCTTTAAATTCGGCTTGCCTTACATTCAACGTCACATCATTTGTCAGACGTTGGTACTTGTCCGACTGCTGTGTGGATGTTTGTAGTCCGGATGGTGAAGCTCTTCTCTGTGGGTTTGATCCCATTCAATTCCCCCAAAAGAACCCTCTGCTAAAGCGAACAAAATGTCGGTCCTTTGGAAGCTTTTTCTTTTCAAAAAGGGACAACTTCTCTTGGGTATCCAGGTCCTATCATACATGCCTGCAAAAGCGTCATACACCAACAGGCCATTTTCCTCGCTGGCCTGGTTTCGCACCTTGATATCGTCGTTTGAATACCCTTCCATTACGTATGACACTTTGGATCCGTTCTTGCAGGGTACCCGGTTCCGCCCCCTCTGGTGGATCTCCCCATTGGGCCCTCTGGTTTCTGTCATCGCATCGATCCTGTTTGTCTACCTCACGCGTGTGGACAAGGACGGCGTACGCATTGTGAGTGTTTGCCCCTATGCTAGATTGACATATTCCCAGGTCTGGCACCTTCAAGTAGTTCCTCGAAGATGTTTAGTATGCAGGTTCGTTGATATTGCAGGAACGATGCGAAAGTAGTGTGCCAAAATTAGCCTGCCAATCTGGCTTAAGATTCTGAAGAGCAAAGTTTTTGGCAGCATGGTGAAGCTGAGTAGAGTCGTCACTTGCCCAATGAACGTGTTGTCGGTTTGATTGCATTTACATACGCTTCGCTGTTCAGCTCGGCGGATCGTAGTGTGACAAGCGACAATTCCATGCTCTTTTTGTGGCTGACTTTTGGATCAACCGGACTCCTGCGAAAGGGTAAAAAACAAAAGTAGATAAAAACAGGTCTCTTCTTTCAAAGATACAACGCTTCTACTAATCATCATGCACCCACCCTGACCAAAGCACTTTTCCGGACACCCGCAAATGGTATCGTTTCAAACGCTTTCAGGTCAAGAAGGTTCCGACGGGCATGCCTCCCTCGTCCGTCCACCGGCTTCACTTCGGCGACACAAGCAAGGTTTTCGCTGACGCCCTCATCTGCGCATTTATCGCCCTCACGGAGGCCATCTCGATCGGCACCACTTTTGCCACCAAGAACGGCTACCACATCAACGGGAACCAGGAGGTGAGTCGATCTCATCGCCGCCCTTTCGTCTGGCGTGTATTTTTGTCTGTTCATAGCAGCTGCGGCTCAGGTGTTCATCAATAACTTGTTCAAACCACACGAATCATTGTAATCTGAGGTTTTACCATTAACTTCGCATCGTGTCTGGACTTGGTCCGGACCGAATGGCTCGGTTTCCTGTAAGCGAATATCTTGTGCGCGGCTATCTTGTGCCTTTCCTGCTTCGGAGTTGTCTGCTGGCAAATGTTCGTTCCTTTATGTTTCTTGACTGAGTCCCTCTCCGTGCAGGGGTAAACGACAACCTTCTCCTTAAAAATTCTAGGTTGCGACCTACGTCTATCTGACCGAGTCGCTCCTGCTTGCAGATGTTCGCTTTCGGCCTCAGCAATCTCGTCGCCTCCATAACCTCCGGCTACGTTGCAACAGGTATGTCGACCCGGCTCTTACATATTTCCACGTTCGTTCGCAATTTGATGACAACTCTGGGACCACCGCTCTGGATATTCCAATATGCGCAGTTGGTTCTACCACCCACTTGGTGCTCAGTAGCTGCGCAGATGGCACCTAGGCTTCCCGCCAATTGCCTTCTTATCCATTAGTCCGAGATAACTCTTCTCCGCTGAAAAGGTCGAGTGCTTTCTTTTGTTTTCCTTCCATCGTTTTGGTCTTTCCTATCCCTGAGGGTGTACTGTTTCTCATACGACCAGTCCCGGCTGGAAAGCTACTGGATGCAATGTGTCAAGATATACTTTATAGCTCCCTGAAATAGCAGTAATATATTTCACCCTAGAAAAGCTGTTTATACCGACGCCTAGCCCCCTACTTGCAGGCTCCTTCTCGCGGTCCTCGGTGAACAACTACTGCGGCTCCAACACGCAGCTGACCGGTGTCATCATGCCCGCGTTCATTATCCTGGTCATCCTGTGCATTACGCCCTCCTTCTACTACCTGCCTCAGGTCAGCTGCAGTCAAGCACTTGCACCATTTGGCCGCCAATCGCAAGTTCACAATAGACAAGTCAAAGTCCTGTTGTCAAAGTCCTGTACATTGCACCGCATGCAAACACATGCACGAGCTGGGGATGAAGCGTTCCAAGCGTTTCGTAAGATTCTGGACAGGAAATTCTACCGCACTGCAAACGGTTGGTTTCTGGCCTCCACTTTCACCGATGTTGCGTTCCATCCAACATACCCGGCTGCAAGATACTGTTCTGCATGATGCTCTCGTCATCGTTGACTCCCTTTTGGTCACTTTCCTCCGCTTGCTTGGGTCGTCCATGCATTACATCTGCGGCACGGTTGGGACATTTGGCATGATTCGGACCCTCTGCATCCTTCGACGAATCTTTGATGAATTTTGGACTTAGCCGGAGGCGAGCAGCCATACATTTGAGCGCGGGAGGCTCTAACCAGATTCATAGGTCTTAATTGATATATCGTCTGACTAAGCGCCCCGGGGGACGAGTAGGGTTGGGTCGGGAGTTGAGGTGGGTACGGGTGTGTAGAGAATGTAGTTGTTGGTTTAGATTTCTTAGGCCCCCGAGCACTAACTTAGTCAACAGTGTTTCTCTCAACATGAAACCGAGAAGTAAGTACAAGAAATTCTACGACAGCGGTTCTTACACTGCTTCATACTCGCCACGTGGCAGCTTCTCAACCCTGACGCTTTGCCTGCAGTGCGTCCTGTCCGTGATCATCATCAGCGCCCTGTTTGGGCTCTTCGACTACAAGGCGGCGTGGCTCATTTGGAAGACGGACAAGCTCGACTTCTGCTGCCTGCTGGGCGCCTTCTTCGGTGTCGTCTTCAAGTCGGTCGAGATCGGCATCCTCATCGCCGTCGCCATCTCCGTGGCCAAGCTCATCTTCCAAGTCACTCGGCCCCACACAGGTAAGCTCTTTTCAGCTTATCTCAAACTCTTTCTCCCTGTTGCTACTCAACAAAAGTCCACGATATTCAGGAAGGTTGTCTTGACATCTTGAGAGTGAGGTAGGGATCAATGGAACTCTCCCACGGCCACCGTCTGCCGGTCCACGCTGCAGAATTTAAGGCTCACCTTCCTTGCTGTTCGGCTTTTGCGTCCGTGCCGTTCAGTCTTCGCGTCCGTTCTCGTTCCCATATTCTGACGCTAGTTCACAACCCCTCCTCACCCCCCCGGTCATCGCTCCTCGTGCAGCCATCCTGGGGCGCATTCCTGGGACCACGATCTACCGGTCCACAGTACAGTACCCCGAGGCGTCTGCTCCGAGCGGCATCCTCATCTGGCGTATCGACGCGCCCATTTATTTTGCCAACGCGCGCTACCTCAAGTCGCAAGCTCTGCGCCTTGTAGACAATCAGACCGCCGATGAGGAGGAGGCCGGCTTAAAGTCGAACCGCCTGCAGTTCTTTGTCATGGACTTGGGCCCCGTTCTGAACGTCGACGTTTCGGCGGCGCTGATCCTGGGGGAGCTCCACCGGGATTTGCTCAAGCGGGGGGTGCGGGTGAGTGGGCTTCGACCCCCTGGAATCATGCCTAGGATTCCGTGTTGCCTGAACGTGCATTAAGTAACACAATGTAAGAGGCAGGCTGAACAATAAACAAGTCGATACAATGCTTTTTAATTCATATTGCTGAATGTTTGAAAACGTTCCATATCGGTTCAGGAGGTAGTCAAAACGGTTGGGCAGAGCTTTCCGAGGGCGTGTGCATTCTAACAATGCCTGCAAGTCGTTAAGATGCGTAGACTCAGCCCGCCCCTTTTGTCAGGCCGTAAAACGTGCGAGTTCTGGTTGTTGCTAACCCTCGTGTTCCTCCCTCGCAGTTGGTGCTCTCCAACCCGAACACGAGCACACTGTACCGTTTGGACGGGACGGGCGTCCTAGACGCGGTGGGCCGGGACTGGGTCTTTGTCCGGACGCACGAGGCGGTCAAGGTTTGCCAGGCCCTGGTCGATAGCAACGGTGATACACGGCATGCGCAGTAAGCGGTAAAGATGTTGGTTGCAATCCCAGAGTAAAACTTTATTGCGTCGAGACGGGCGCAGGTGCAGTTGTGGGCGGCTTGGGTGCCGCCTTGTAATTCGTAAAAGAGGAAGCGGGACGGATCTCGGGGAAGCTTCGTTTGGGGGATCCCTCTCGTGAGGTACGATTGAATAGATGTTCGGACGTTGTGTGTCTCATCCTAGTCCGGATTTGCAAATGTGTCTCTACGAATTAAGAGTCGTGTAGATGCTACGAACACAACACGGACTGAGCTCCATAGGAGCAAGAAGCAGACGAGATCTGCTTTAGTACGTGATGATTTCAAAACAAGCCAAGATTCAGTCTGCCGACCAGCCTGTACATGCTACCTGAACATTGGCAATCCAGTTGAAAAATTTCGAGTTGTTTCTCCTGAATCCTACAGCCAAAATTGCCGGCCAGTCAGGAACACGCCTGACGATACTTAGCGGCATCATCCTTCTTTTATGGAAATGATCCAAATTACTTTCTAATCACATTTGCAGTTCGTCTTTCTGCACTCCACGCAAGAAAACTTTTGTCCTTCGCGTGAAGTTGCGCATGCACTGAGCGGCATCATGGCATGGAAATTTAAATCAGGAGGGCATCCGGTCGATCTTGACATGGTGTTAATATGCATATCAGTAGTCGAGTCATTTAGGTCACAAAAGGGCCGGTGCGTTTATATGGCCCGGCCATGCACACATGTGCGGCCGGCCCGCGCAATCATGCATATGCAACTTATATCAGGCCACATTTAATTAAGAACACGTGCTAGTGCCGGCACATGCACTTCGTACAGATATTAGCTCAGTGCGCTGCATGAAGCCGTGGCTTCTAGGTTGATATTAATCAACCATCCATGTGAGATCGCTCATTCCGACAGCACATAACTTGAAGCTGACCGCGCGGCATAAGCTCGCAATGGCTGGCCCGGGCCCAAGCAACGAAGCTACAAAGTTGCTCTGGTCGAGCCGGCCGGACCTCAGCATGCCGCGCTTGGTTGAAGTGGTGCAGCAACAATCTGGATTCATCAGCTTAGCGCGATGTGGCGGGCTCAAAATAGGAATGGTCTGACTAAGAGCGATGGGTCGGCATGCGGTCGACCGGGCTTGACCTTTGTACCTGCGGCTTGCAACTAACCTCTTGAACCATGCCGGGCTTTTTGAGGGATACTTCTGTCGACAGTTTTAAGTCCTGCTTCTCCGTCACCTGGGCACATACTTGAACTCTTCGCCTTTAAGCCAAAGCTGGTCGTCCTCCACCTCGTTGAAATATACACTCCAGATTTCCCACTTTTGCCCGGGTATATTTGTGTCATATAAGTGACTGTCGATGTCGTCAGCTACGTCCGAGCCGGCCACACGCCACACGTCTGGATTAAGACTCGCCACGTCGTCTGCAAGTACGGCTCTGTGTTTGTGAACCGGCAAGATTGAAAGGGGATTGGTTAAGACAAGACTGAAAGAATGTAACGGAAGACCTCCTTTCAGGGGAGACCTTACGGACTCTGAAATGAAATCAAATGCAGCAAATGGCGCTCCTGATGTGGAATTTCAAAACTCCAAGGTCAGACTACTCCAACCGCTCGATGATTCTTCAGATGGAAAGGAAGGAAAGAAGGAAACACTTACTCAGAGCAGATCAAATATTGGAGGTAAAGAGAGGACCGAAACAAAAAGCAAAGAAAAGGCAGTGAAATAAAGGAAAGAGCAAGCAATTGTAGGTAACTAGAAGCAAACCTGATTGATCCTCGCAGTCTCTTAAAAATCCAAAGGGAGTCCTTGATTCTCCATCCATTCAACCGAGGAACGCACGCCACATGGGTATGACACCAATCGGTTCCTACAGGCTCTTGCGAGAACGTACTCTCTCGAGGAAGCGGTCTCACCTCCTATGAACAACTCCTTTCTAAAAGTGGCGGGGCAAAGCCCCGACGTGCGCACGGGCAAGTCCCAAGCGCACCGCAGCGTCTGGCCCAGCAACCCGTGTGGGTGGTCGAACCGGCTCGCGTCGTGCAGCGTAACGGTCACCTCTCGGCCCGGCTTGACCGTTACGGCCACCGTCACCTGCCCCGTCCGCAGGAGGACCTCCTCGTAAAACGGGCCGTCTGATGACGCCAGGTGACGTCGGATAAGCGGGGCGGGTCTAGAACTGCCTAGTTTACCCTCCGAGTCGCTGCTGTTCAAAGCTAGGGCTACACTGTTGCTTAAAGATTCCGGGCTTGACTCACTGCTATAAAGGGACGGATCTATGCTAACTATTTCTAGCGGGCCACTCATCACAACGGAAGGCGACATGCTTTGGCCTTTTCTCCTATCCTGCGCCGAAGTACCGTCTGACTTGAAACTTTCAACATCTTCTGTCGCCCCTAAAAGCCGCCTCCTTTCCGCCGTTTTAAACAAGGTTATCAACTTCCTATACTCATCTAGTCTACCTTCCTTAGGCCCCTCAACCACCTCCCGTTCGCCTAAAAGTGGTTCCTTAACCCCGGTCTTGTGATCCGCAACAATCCTCACCCCCCGCCATCGAACCGCCACCTTCGTAAACGCGTAGCTGTCCGCACTGCTTATAACGCCGTTCACCTGCAACTCCCGGTCCGCGTAAACCCCGTAAACCCCCGGCTTAACCCGCTGCGTCTCCGGTACTAACCCTCCGGAGTGAACCTCGACCCCGTGAAACGTAACCACCCGATCCGCCGACCAGTGGGCGACAAACTCCTGGGGGGTTTTCACACCCCCCCCGCCATACAGCTCGCTGTCGAGGTGGTAAGACGCCCCGAACGGGTCGGGCGTCAGCGGCGCAACTCCCGCCGGCTTCTCCAGCGGATCAATTAAATACTTGCTTGTGAAACGGGTTCCGTTCCGCCGTTCGTTTTCCGCTTGCGTCGCGGCGAAGAGCAGCCGGAACTGCGCCGCGACGTTGTCCCACGACCAGTGGCGCGCGAAGCGCGCGGCGTTGCGGCCGAGCTTTTCCCGCAGCGGGGGGGACTTGAGCAGTGACAAAAATGCCCCCTGGATGCGGGAGTCGTCCTCGAAGGGGACCACCAGGCCGCGCTCATCGGTCAGGACCTCAATCGCAAATCTGCGGCGAGAAAAGAATAGGGGACTTGGAATAGAGGACAGTAGTTCTAGGGATACGAATTGTGGGGCGGGCATGAGGACTGCGAAACCGGAGATAAGATCATGCAAAACCAAGAACTTCTGAGAGTCAGGGCCGAATCCAAATAACTTTAGTCGGGTAGGGGTTTTCCAATCAGGGGTAGTAAAGATCATGGGACTGTGTAAGGTTCTATGGGACCGGTTCAAAGGGTTGGAGGTTGACCCACGGGCCAAACATTTGGCTTGAAATACTGACTTCTTTCGATCGAGATTATACCAATGGTGCAGATACACGGATTGTCCATCTGTCACACCTCCGTTTGGCTCGACTGTCGCTCAACCTGTGTTCAGTCAATCTGGTTACTTCAAGAAAAGCGTCGCCTTCGAAGACTCCTTGCCATTCAGAGACACGCGGCTTCACACCAGGGTTTGAACGGGCAGATCTAGCTGAAAGCGAAGACAGGATATCGGCCTGAGCAATAACACACGTGGACAGTTTTGCGAGGAGGTCTTGGTTCACTACTCAGGTCACTTTTGCTCGTCGTGGAAACAAGTGGGGGGTTGTGCCTTCGATTCCCGCTTCTTTCGTCCTGGAAGCGTTTAAAACCACCGTTCACAAATCGGAGCAGCCACTATCCAACAATCTGCCAATTCTTCATGCACGCGTGTAGTAAAGATTTTGACCCCTGATTCATCCAATTTGATATCAAAACCAGGCCACAACTCTACCCACCGTTTGGAGTGCTTGACGGCCACTGAACCGCGGAGTTTCAATCTTCGTCTAACGAATAAGCACTCAGCATCATCTTCTTTCAGAAAAGCCCTCAAGAACGTTCTTGGCCCACGAAAAATCTCATCAATACGGAGATTGGCTTAAGCTTTGCGATAATGCGTACCTATACGAAGTCGCCACAATCGCACAGCCGTGCGCCATTGCCTGGAGCAGCGCCCCCGAGGTCGCGGCGACCTCTTCGTACATCGACGCGTACACGTCTGACAGGCCGAGCCACTTGCTGATGTCCGACTGGCTGACGTACTCGCTGTGCCACGTGATGTAGGGCCGAACCTGCGCAGGACAGATGGAAGCGTACGTCTCTTCAGTTTAGCATTACTGATCTTTAGCAACAGTAAGCTCCCCACACCAGAGTTGAAACCTAACCCAGAACAAAACCTGCTCCACACCCGTACCCATCCCAAACCCCCAGACTAACCCAATCCATCCCGGGCGGGTTAGCTTACTATTGCTTAAGCCTACTGTTGCCAATGTCAAGATTGTTGAAAGTGTCTCGGTGGTGGCTTAGCAGAATAGAATTTGACGAGGGCGGGGATTCTGATGGTTTCAGTATGTACTTAGTCCACCTGGATACATGCGCCAATACCCGGCGAGTATTCTCCGGATAGTTGCGGCCCGACTCGACACGCATCTCTGTTTGGATTCGAATCGGAGCATGGAGTGGGATATACTTCAGACGTAGTTGGAGTAAGCGATGGCAGGGGGAGATGTTCACAGAAGCAAAATAACATTTTACAGCATTGACACAGAGGTTCCTACATCTTTAATCTCTTCGACATCGTCACGACCATGTTTGACGCACCCAATCAACGGGAAGACTCTTGAAGTGAATTGTTCGCTGAACGGAAGAAGACCCGTTCCTCTGAAGCCCACTCAATCAACGTCGAAAGTGTGCATGAGCCCAGTCACGCACAACCCAGGGGCCTCTTCGGAGGTGCCTGGCCTTGTGTGCCAATGAACTTTTACGGCACCAGATAAACTCACAAATCCGCTTCCTGGTTTCAAAGATTACGGGTTTGGTATTTGCTCACCCCGAGCGCCGTAGCCTCTTCAAGCAGGGCCGGCATGGTGTGCTGCTCCACGTTCTTGCTGTGCTCCATGCCCAGAATCAGCAGCGCCACCTTCCGCTTGCCCCCCATTTGGTCCAGAATCTCCCGCAGGTTCCGCACAATGCGCTGGAAGCCCTTGTTCTTATGGATAAGCCCGTGACTCATTATGAGAAGCGGCCGGTCCTGATGCCCCGCTGGCAACGACATGAGGTGCTCCAGAGTAGCGACGTCGGGGGGATCGTTTCGGGAGAGAATAGGGGGGGGCTGGAGGGTGCGGGCTCGTTGGGGCGAGCTGGGAGGGTCCACTCCATGGGGGACGAAGAAGACCTGAACGGGAGAAGAAGAAAGTGTGGAGGACTGAAAAGCGCAGAAAAAGATTTGAGGGAGGTGACTTTGGCAATACTTGGTATCGGACGTATGACTTCAATCAAATGAGCAAGTTGAATAAGGGTATAAGGCACTGCACGTACTTCTGGAATACTAACATCCGGTATGCCTCAGTACTTGATGCAATGAACAGCACCCATCTACACATAGAACGCCAGCCCGCGCAGACCTCATTCTTTGGTAGATGCCATCAATTTGTATATAAGGGCACAAGGATTTGCCCTGGAGCACCAAATAAACAGTTGTTTCTGAGTTGACAACTTCGTACGCCGCAGCAATAAGCCAGAAGTTGGCTCCTGTCAAGCGGTAGCTCTCTACTTGTGGAGCAGGCTCTTCGTCGCTCTCAACAAGCTCAGATTCCAATCTTCAAACCCTGTCTTCAATTGCTGCAAAACCCACTATCATGACTGGTAGCAACAGGAAGCAAAGAGAAAACCCCCCTGCCAGCTCTTACCTTTGCCTCTGGTACTCCGTACGCTGTCACCAGGCTGTGGTACCCATGCCAGCTCAGCGCCACAATCGCACTCGAGTGATCGACCAAATGCCGCACGAAGCCCTTCTCCTCAATGTGGGGGTACGCAAACGGGGAATGGCACACGAGCACCGATTGCAGGTCCCCAATTGGAAGGGCTAACTTCCGCTGGCCTGCGACCACCCAGCGCACGAGGTCCAGCATCTGCCACTTATGCCACACGATGCCAAATTCGACTTGGGTCAACATATGCGTGAATGGGAGGAAGCTTTTCGGGAGGCCCCCCAGGGCAACCCCTTCTTCCCGTGACTTTTGCAGCAGCCCGGCTGCCTTCTCCTGGTGGTTCAAAATCCACCTCGACGTGTTCCAGAAGCTCATGCCTGGTTGGACCGTATCTTTCACGATCTTCCCGACGACAAAGTGGGGATCGTACCCCGTCATGTCGTCGGTGTCGTCGAGCGCCAGCACCGAGTAGTGGCACTGGAAGTCAGGGGACAGATTGCTCTGCACGCGGAGGGTGGCATTCAAGAAGAGCTGCGTGAATTGAGCTATCCCGCACTTCCGCGGGGGGTAAGTGCTGATGACTAGGATGTGACAGGGGCTCCCGGGGGGGGTTTCTAGCGAGAGCTGGAGCTGGGTGCCCTGCTGAGAAAGGTTTTTGATGGAAGAAACATGGACCTTGGGCTGGAGGGTGAATTTGAGAAGGAAGCACAAGATGACGAAGAGGATGAGAACCGTGCGCCACGAACAAGGGTCCTTGGCTTTGCGTTTGCGCCTGGGGCTGAGAAGCCCCGCGCGATGTGGAGCCGGGGCGAAGGCCATCGTTTCAAAGCGAGGGGTGTTGTCTCGAAGAATGAATGCGGGGAATGCACCTCAATTCCATCTGAATTGCTTGTGTTGGTCCTGGAGGGGCACCAAAACGGTCCTGTTCCCTCCTTTCCCCAAGAATGGACGACGGACGTATGGACTATGGACGTATGGACGTATGGACCATGTTGAATGGCAAGATTCAACTTGAACTCGGAATGAATCTTGGCGAAACCCTAATCTTCTGGATCCTCCTCACGTGGCCTTATTTTCGTATGGATTTTGTCACGCAAGGCCGTCCCGGCACCCGTCCGCCGTTTCTCTAGCCTGGCTCGACCCATCGGCAGAGCAAAAACAGTATGCCGTCGTTTGGACCGTCTTTTAACGCTGAGAATTCTGCGTCAAAATGATAAAGAATCATACGACATATCCTGACGTGCGCAAACTGATATTCCGCATTAACGGCTGGTTAAAACTGGGGTTTCAACCGGGTTACCAGCCGGGACAACAGCCGGTTACCACGCCTGGGCGGTTTACCCTCTGCCGAGACTTTCAAATTCTGAAGATACCGATAGTCTACAAGTACCGGTATTAGAAGGTACAGTTGGGTACAGAGCTCTCGGTCAGAGCTCTGCTTTCCAGCTTCAACAGAAGGCCGCATCACTGCAATCAGGCTCGAGAGAAGAGATCGTTGGCGCCGTAAATCTCCGTTTTCCAAGTACCTAGGTATTCGAAGCTGTAGACTGTAGCTTCCCGTAGCTTCCCGTAGCTTCCCACGAGCTGGAAGTCGTGGCGAATGATGGCAGATGCTGGGGGGTCGCTCTTCCCGCTGTTCCCGTCGGGGCAGCAAAGGGTAAGCTTCTTGTTCTGTTTTGTGCATGTAGTGATCATTGGGGCTCATTGGGCGCAGCCCTGATGAGGACATGCCAGCTATTTGTATATCATAAACCAAGCTTCTTTTTGATGCAATCAGGAGAAGTGATGAAATGCTGTTCAGTTTCTGCTTTTCCAACTTACTTTGTGTGCTGCCAGTCTGGTTGCTTAGTTCGCCAATAAGCGGGCTTGCTGCTATGGCAGAAAAGGAGGTATGTTTGACCCACATCGACATTTACATCTCCTCAGCTTTACTAAAGCTTGTCTCCAACTAGTTTGCACTCATCATTGGAACAGTTTGCTGTCAAGTTGTTCAAATGTTCACCTTTTGTATATGTATAGAATGCTGCTGCGCTAGCGAACGCAGGGTACCTAGCCACTGCTACTTTTGTCACCGCGATCTTTGATTTATGTTCTTATGAATGCTGCCCAAATCAGTGACCTTGAAAGAAGCACAAAGTTCCAAATCAAAGAGACAAACGGTGGTATGACAATTGAGCATCATTGTCTGTCTTGCAGATCAACACCAGCAGCACCGGGGCAGCAGCCACAGACTGGCTTGTCAACACCAGTTTCGCTGAAGAGCTGCTGCCAGCGTCAGCCCCCGTGCCCCAGGTCTTTGCAGCAGCGCAACTCTTAGAGTCATCAGATGAGGAAGCCTCTCCCAAGGAGGGTGAAACAAGTAGACGTCAGGCTGCGTCAATTGATCAGGCGGAGGTGCCAGCTGACCCTGGTGTTATCCGCAGGAAAGATGATGAAGCCAGGGGACGTGCGGAAGGCAGATTAGACAATGAAGCCGAGCATGATTTTCGGAAGGAAGGCGCCGGGCCAAGTGACCAGCACAGAGAGGGTCGATCACGGCACAAGCGGAGGAGAAAGCATAGGAGCCGAGAGAGGGACGGCAGTGCGTCAGACGAAAGTCGGGAGCGGAGGCATCGGAAGCGGCGGAAAGAGCGGGAGAAGGAGAAAGAGAAGGCCAAGGCTGAGGCTGCATCCCTGGAGCGCTTGCGAGTCCCTGCTGGGACGGACAGGAAGGCAGCGGTTAAGACCTGGGTGGAGGAGGCGCCGCTGACGTCGGAGTACTATTTCGACACAAAAGGCGATCGGGATAACCTGGCGTTTGGCTCACTGTACAGGTCAGACATTTTGCTCCGCTCACCTGGTGATTGAGAAATTGTCCTGTAGAGGAAGCTGTGTCCGCCATTCGGATCAGGTCATGGGAAGGTATTTCTGTGTTTGAAATTGTCTTCCATTTATCAAAGCTTCGTTTCTTTAGACTTCTTTGGATGTCTGTGGTTGCCAACTGAAATGGTGTCCTTTGACCTGCATCTCGTTGGTCAAACTTTTTGGAGGTATGTTATCACCGCTTGCAAACGTCCTTCCTTCTTACTAAAAGCAATCGACCATAATCGACCATCTACAGATTGGATGTGGCCCGATATCATCGACAACCCAGCCAGTTCGTAGAAAGTGTTGGCTCCAAGCGTGGGCGTTTCAGTGGTCTGCAGGAGCCGGAAGAGGTAAGGGAAGCAGGAGAACACGATGGGTTTCCTTGTCTCCCCTGCTGTCTGAAAACAGCGTTTTCTTGAGTTTCTACTTTGAGAGACGCTTGAGGAGATTCGAAATTGCCTCTGAGCGCTCTGTTGTTTTGGTCCTGGGTCCAACAGTTTGCGGGTTTAGGTCAACGTCGATTCGAGTGGTTGAAGTGAGTCTCTTGTCTGTAAGAACGCCGACGACTGCGCTGCTCAGAATGTTGAGTACCTGGTCCGAGTTAGTTTTGCAAGCAACGGCAGAAGGCCAATCAGACGGCCAATCAAGAGCCACCCTGTACGTCACGAACTATAGTTGAAAAGCCCTCATTTCTGCTTACATCAAAGGGCCCGAATATGATGCGGATCGCTACATATTAGAGCCAGAATCACTTGTCCAGACTCGCTTTCGGTTGCTAAGGAGAGGTACCGACAGATGACCACATAAGCCGTTATTACCTGATTAGGTCTTGCCCCGTCAATGGTTTAGTTGCTCGAACATTTCCTGATCGTTTCCTGCAGGATGCGTCCGCTCAGGGGGTAGGCGAGAAGCGATACTGGGGCCCGGGGCATGCCCTCAAGGAGAAAAGCAAGAAGCTCAAGAGGTGAGGGCCGGCAGGTTGTGCTCGCAGATGGGATGGATGGAATAGAAAAATGGGCCTTGGCTGCTTGACCATTGACCTCGTGACATCCTATGGATTCCCGTGATATGTTAGGGGTCTTACTCAATAATTGCTATTTCGAGAAGTAGAACGGACATTCGCACGGAGTCCATGGTAAATCTCAGGGCCTGGGAGAAATATTATCTCCTATGTTATTCATCCTTACCAGAGGAAAGTCGCGTGCGTATAAAAAGGCTCGGAACTGTCTGCAAATGGCTGTCGGAGCTGGAACTTGCCAGCGAACAGCTCTACAGAGGTCGAGGTTTTCAAGGGGACTTTGGTGGACGAAGTCACGTTCTGAGCCACCCTATAGTTGAGTTCCAATTTAAGTGAGGCTCATGCCCGAAAAACGTCTCTTTGAAGTATATGGCGCTCGATGACACCACAGGTCTTCTCGGCTTCTCCAGAGCCGATTGCACAGGTTGTCTTCTTTGCGCCAGCTTTTAACCCGGCGCGTCGCTCTCTTCTTGCTGTCTCTGCGTTATTCTGACAATCCCCCCTCTCTGTTCAGGGTCAAAGCCACCCCCAGGCCCGGAGGACGCCCCTCCACTCCTCCGGGGGGCTACATTCCCCTCTTGGAGACCCCCCTGCCAGAGTCAAATGCGGACGAGGGCCCTGTCGAGGAGGGGGAGAGCTTTGAGGACAGTCTGCTGCGACGTACTCGGGATTTCAACGAGCTGACCCGGACAAGGCCTCAGGAGCTGCAGGGGTGGCTCGACTTTGCCGCGTTCCAGGACGAGTTTGTCAAAATAGGGCGCAAGCGGGAGGCGGTGCAGGCGCTGGACAAGAAACTGGCCATCTACGAGAAGGTGAGCGGGGCTCGCACTGCTGGTCATGAGGTGTGTGCATCTCTTATCTGTGAAATGGTTCTTTAAATTATCGGTGTACGGCTTTGGTTTGTTTAGACGGGTGTAACAAGCTTACAAGGGAGTCTTGATCAGAGATCGTTTCAGCAATATATTCTCGGTTAACGTGCTCAAAAATGCTCCTTGTCATTTCATGAGATTGCCAGTAGTACTGAAAATCTCAAGTTCAGTTGCCCTTCTCCAGTCACTGACAACCTATCGTCCTTCTCCTTGTCGTCTTTTGACTCAAGCGCCTTGACCACGTATCTGTGCTCACATTAGTTCGTCAGAGCGCCCTTACTTTAGTTCGTCAAAGTGTCGTGAGCGCAACTTCAGACTTCGCCCATCGTTGAACTTTCTCCAGGCAAGCGCTCGCCTACTCGAGATGACTTCTCTATCTTTCCACTGCAGGCGCCTGATCACCACCTCTACAGGGACGAACTTTTTCTTGCTTATCACCCGGCCTTGACGCAGCGTCCTGTTGCAAATTTCCTATTTTCGCTACAGCCTCCCAAGCGCAACTTCAGGTTTTTCCCCTTCTCATACCTCTTCTCTCAAGCGCTCGCCTCTTTTATTGAGAGTTCACTGACCTTTCTATCTTTCCCCTGCAGGCGCTCGATTATCACCCCGACAGTGACGAGCTCCTTTTGGCTTACCTGACGGCCTCGGCATAGTTTCCTAATCCTTCCTTCTTTTCGCCACGTCTCCCGAGCGCGGCTTCCGTTTGCCATCTTGACAACTCCAAACAAGCGCTTGCCTTCTCGATCTGATTCCCGCTGGCGTTGTACCTCTCGCCTGCAGGCGCTTGATCATCACCCCGACAGCGACGAGCTCCTGTTGGCTTACCTCACGGCCTCGGCCCAGCGCGACGACGCGCCGACGCTGCAGGCCAAGTGGGCCAAAGTCTTGGAACGGCTCTCGGGGAGCTGTCTGCTGTGGCGGGAATACATCCGGCTGCGCAAGGGCCAATACTCGAGCTTCTCGGTGTCGGACGTGCGGGGAGTGTACGCGCAGGCACGTGCCGCGCTCGCGCAAGAACGGAACAGGGTCCGGCGAGAAGGGGCGGGAGAGGACAAGGTGAGGGGCATACGACTTTGCAACGCAAGATTCCTGGTTTTTGTAGCAGGCGCTCACGCTCCTGAATCTGCTTCCGCTTCGTTGTCTCTCCTTTCGACCTTGTTTGTGATCGGAGCGTAAGAGGCCAGCAAGCTTTGAATGGACGGACCTCACGGGCGCAAAGGTGTGGGTTAGCATGGGAAAGAAGGAACAGGGTGCCGTCGTTGCTTGAGTTAGGTGTTCGCTGTGAAAGTACACAGTTGCCTGCTTGCAATGCCTTTCCATAAATGCACGACCATTGACGAGTTAACAATAGACCTGTTTGTTGCTCGAGAACATTCACGAACCACAGGGTTCGGATCAAAAGCAACGTGCTCATTGTGCTGAATGAGATTTTCCGGTGCGCAGGTCGGTCAAGTCGAGCGGGATCTAGTGCGCATCTTCCTGGACGCATGCCTTTTTGAATGGCAGACGGGGCACCACGAACTGGCCGTCGGCCTCCTGCAAGCCCAAGCCGAGTACTCGGTGTTCGGCCCCCGGATACAGGCCAGCGAGAGCAGCAAGCAGACGCTGTTCCAGCGGTTCTGGGATTCGGAAGCCCCCCGGATCGGGGAAAGCGGCGGGGTTGGCTGGGGCACGTGGCTCGCCAAAGAGGAAGAACGGCTGCAGAACTGGGGCGGGGGGGTTGGCGAAGAGGAAGAGGAAGAGGAGGAGAAGGGGGGTTGGTCTGGGTGGCAGGATTTGAAAGAAATAGGGGGGCCGGGGGCTGAAAGTGACTCCGAGGGGGGGAGGGAATCCGAGGGGGAGGAGGAGGGTTCTGAGGGGGCGGCGATTGAGGAAGAAAGCGACGAGGCGCTTCTGAAGAGGCTGGGCATCAACCTCGATGCGGCCGATGCCGTGGACGCAGCAAGTGTTGACACATGGCGCAAGTGGGCCGTCGAGGAGGAGACACGTGGCGAGCAGCAGTGGCTCCCAGTGCGGCCGAAAGAGGGGGAGCTTTCCGACGGCGGAGGAACGGACGGCGAGCTGCAGCGGACGGTGCTCTTCGACGACGTACAGCCGTTTCTGTTTTCGCTGGAAACTGACGCTGCGGGGGTGGAGCTTTTGGCCGGGTTTGGGGGATTCTGCGAAGCGCCCATACCCCTGCTGAGCACTTCAAACGACGCTCAGTTGACGGGGTCACGGGAGGTCATAACAGGCAGTTTACGGGACCACCTCATAAGAGCGACAGCGGAAGAAGAAAAAGCTGAAGTCAGCTTTACGTCAGCAGCAGATGCAGTGCCTGAGGTTGGGCAGACCGAGCTTAGACCTGCCAAAGGGGGAGAGGTCCTGGTCAACCTCGTAGGGGGCCCCGTCTGGCTGGACCAGGACCCCCCCCGAAGGCGGCAGTTCGCAGCCAACCTACTGCTCCAGGCCTCAGGGGCTTTCCCTGCGTCAGCGCCAATTGCACGAGCCCTGCTGGCGGTGACGTCAGCCGGTGACGTCAGCGGGAAGGAGGCACGTGGCCTTGCGAAAGCGCTTCTGAAGGGGCGACGAGAGGACCTCACGTTGTGGGGGGCGTATGCAGAACTAGAGGCGGCAGCCGGAAACGTCGGCGCGGCTCGGAAGGTGTTCGGAACGGCGCTTGGGTCCGTATCCGCACTTCAACCTGATGCGCGGGATAAGGCGCCGGAGCTGTTTCTGAGTTTTGCCGAAATGGAGTTGCGACTGGACAGAGCAACGGACGGCCAGGATGAAGCGAGGGGGGAAAACAACGGTCACATTGGCAGCGGCCGCCGGGCGGCGCTGCATATTCTGGCGTGCTTTGGCGAGGGGGAGGCGTTCAAGCCTGCGGAGGCTGGCGTCGTACCCCCGTCAAGAATACTGAAGGTGAGGCTTCGCGAAGTGGCCTGGATTACCTAGCTCGCAGTCTCCATCTCGCTTGGTAAATCCAACTCAGTTGCTTTACAAAGCTTGGATGGGTGTGCTGCTGTCAGACAGCGTTCGTCAATGATATATGAAGCCTTCCGGTGTGTTACAGGCGAATTGCTTCCTGGCACAGCAAAATCAGCCAAAATGGGGAAACATCTTTGTCGCATCAAGCAGCGCCGTTCTCCTTCGGTCCACAAGTGCAAAAACGACGGCCAATCCATTCTTAGGTCTCCATGTTCGGCGAACTGTGAGATTCAGATTTTGGGAGATGATGATCGACGAACATGAGACTTACCGATTGCGTGATGACCACCCACTGTCGGACGTCATATGTTAAGGATAGTGACGCGCCCAGCGATTCTGTTGCAGGCCAAGAACGGCTACCGAGACAAACTGCAACAGATTCGCGCCAACACCCTCCGCCACCCGCTGACCGACGCTGACGTGGCAACAGTAGCGTGCGCCGCACTTTTCGAGGACCTCTCGGGTGGCGACTGGCAAGCGGCCGCCGCCACCTACGAGGACGCCCTCAACCTAGGATTGCCCGGGAAGCGCGCCAAGAGCCCCCAGTACGAAAAATTAGTCCAACGGTATATACAAACCCTGGCGCAAACCCCCGCTAAACCCGCCCGGCAGCGGCAGGCGGTCCTCCGGGGCCTGGCGACATTCCCGAAAAACCCGGAGCTGTTGAGTGCGCTCGTGCGGGGCGAGGCGCACCAGGCGCTCGCGAACCGGCTGCGGCGCTACTTTGACACGGAGGGCGCAAAGGCGCCATCGACGGTTGGGTGGCTGTTCGCGCTGGCTTGCGAGATGGGCCGCCCAGGTGCGGCGGCGCGCATCCGGAGCCTCTTCGAAAGGTGGGTTTGTTTGCGTGCGTGGGAACTTTCGGTCAGCCACTTGTTGTGCAGCTGGTTTCGGGGCACTGGTCTTTGATTCTTCTTATTACTAAGTGCTTCTGAAGGCTACTGGAATGGGAAAGCGAATGGCAGATCGAATCTTTGCAGGATGATATCTTGCACGCAAAGGGGGCCGGATCTCATGTAGCACAGATGTTGAGAATCTGAGTCGCACAGGCTTGCCTCCTTATGCTGCTGATCTCCTTAAATGGTAGTTCGTGACTGCTGTCTGATAACCTCCACCAGTCGTCGAAAGCCTGCTTTATGCCACCGTTGGCCGAGTGACGTTGCCCGAAGACATCTGAGAAGTTTTTGAACAACACAGTCGAGAATTGAGACAATTGTGCGTGATCCTTTGTGCAGAGCGTTATCGACGCATGAGACAAGCCAGTCGGTCGTCCTGTGGCGAGCCTACTTGGCGTACGAAGTGGAAGCGCTCAAGCAGCCGTCCCGACCGTCCGATCGTCCGGATGCTGCGCGAAGAGTCTTTTTCCGGGCGTTGCATGCGTGCCCTTGGGCAAAGACGCTGTGGCTAGACGGGTTCAAGCGCCTGACGGAAGCGGGGGCGCTGACAGGGAAGGAGCTCGGCGACCTGTGCGAGACGATGATAGAAAAGGAAATGAGAATCAGGACGGACATCTACGAGATCTTACTGCAGGAGACAGAAGCAGAGAACTTATGAAACGAAAGCTGCCGCCTTTTATTATGAGATCACCGCGAATTACTGCAGCGCTTTGCATCCGATTTCACTAGCGTCTCCAACGAAATGGCGGAACTGATTTAACGTGATCATGTACTGAATGTAGCTAAGCGGTGAAGTCTTTCAGGAGAAAGTGATTCAGCCCTGAATGTCTCACGGATCAAAAGGGTTTGAAGGGGAGTAATCCATGCTTCTTGTTAGCAGACAGCCATTGAAGAGGGCCAAATTCTGAGATGATAGTTAACGGGTTGCTATATACTACCTGAACTTCAAAAGAGGCGCTGCTGATAGGTAGGTCATGTATTCTAGCTGAAACTGCAAGGAAGAAATTCAGCCCAATGAGCTAGATCTATTTTGCAACCGCATATAATAAAAGTCGCCGTTTGCAAATTGTCGAGACGTTCTGCCGGTCTCACATGTCCGCGTCTCTTCAAGAGCTACTACTATATATGCAGCGCAGGATATAGTATATACTGCACTTCCCTGCAAGCTTCCGTGGTCTTAGCGTGATTGGCGTCCAACAATAATACAAAGTCGCCTTTTGCAATTTTTCGAGACGTTGATATCTGCCGGTCTACATGTCCGTCTCTTCAAGAAGCTGCTATGTAGCGCAGGACTTATCCTATACTGAACTTTTCGAGCAAGCTTCCATGGTCGTGGCGTGCTTGGCGTCCAACAAGTGCTCGGATCCCGGAGTCCTCAGCACGCGGCCGCGCCCGCCCCAGCTATGGATAATGGCCGCAATTTGATGACGAAATGATTGCGCCAGCTACCTTCCAGGTGGAGGCATAAGATTGGTTCAAAGTTGGGCGACTCGAGCTCAAAGATTCCAACTTCCGCCTTGCTTGTGGCCCGTGAAAGACGGGCATCACAGGTAGGCGGTAGACTCAGCCTGGGTGCGGCCGTTCCACTAGTTGGCCGGCAACTGGAAGACCGGAGATCTGTACCGAGCAACATTGGGCTGAGTCACTCTCTAATCATTGCTGGCCTTGACTCACGAGGGCCGAGTCACCCGCAGCATCATGAGCATGCATGTGGGATCACCCAGCTTGCAAAGCAGCAAGGCGGCATTGAACCAGCCACATTGCGCGACCAGAGTTGTGAAAGACTACCGGTATAGGCAATTGAAGGTGCTTCATTGAAACCCTGAAGGGTGGCGCCGATTGGCTTGGATGACAATCAACAGCAGGGTTCTTTAAATGCTGGCTGAGTCGGCTTCGTTGCTCCTCACCAACTCTTTTGAGCTCCACCCATAATCCGTTTGCAGTGCGTAGCAGCTGCGCCAGGGGCATTGACCGCTGCTCTGCATTCCACAAGGCAATCTTCACTTATTGGCTGCACGGCACCAGCGCGGATAAAGACGTCTGCTCTTGCAAAGCACAACGCTGCTCGTCGTTCTGTTCCGCAGTGTCAGGCAACTAGTGAAAAATAGCGGGCGTTATTGCAGCGCTATGCAATGGTGGCTTTCAACAACAACGTGGCGTTTGTGCTGCTGGCATTGCTCGCATTGTATGGGGCCAAGCCGGCGCAGGGGCAATCTCCTGTGTCACTGTCATGCCCTCCCGGGTATCTGGTGCAAGCTGCCCGTAACGTCCCAACGTAAGCATTTATAATGCAAAAGTATGTTGCTTGAATTTCAGAGCTGCAGGTTTCAATTGCCCTCTTCTTCGCAAAGTCATTTGCCGCAGTAAGTTTATGCAGATTTGGCTCTAGTGGCAGAACTTGAATCTACTCCTCCAAGTTTTTACATGGGTATTCTATGTGCCTTTTCAACAGTGCACAGACCATATTTCGGGTCACAGGCGCCACCCCAATGCCGCAGGTTCACGCCATATTCAGGAATGCTGTAGAGTGCCAATCTCTGAACACAATTCAAAGAAGTGAGACTCCTGGGTTAGGAGGCATTGGTGTGTTGAGCTTTGAGACAATGGCATGCAGTGTGTGCAGGTCTTTGGCAAGCTACTCACTTTCTTTTCTTGCTCTTTCAAAGGTATACATGCACGACCGACCCCTGTTATGAGAACCCTTGTGGTCCTGGTGAGTACGCTCTGATGCTTCCACTTCGTTGTTTTTGGGAATAAGCAAGCATCCCCTATCCCGCTTAAGTCAAACCAGCATACTGCAGACACGGTATTATTAAGATAGAGCTGGTGAAGATAATGCAGGAACGAAACCCCTCAGAACGAATGCCTGCACTGACCAGCACTGAGCAGACCTTAGGCTGCTTCGATCCTGCTTTCACCAGGCTGCTTTTGTCTGAGCTGCAAACACAATTTCTCTCTGACGCCGCTGAATTGGGGGTGCTCTGAGGTGCCTCTGCCATCGCACACTTAAAGTGCAGTCAAGCTTGCAAGGAGTTTGCGTTGTGTGCTGCAAAGGGATTCCCTCCATCAATCTGTCTGGTTAAAGAAAAGTCGTTGCTCAAACATTCTCCTTCTCATCCTGCAACAAGCAATGCCTGCTCTTGGTTGCAGGTAACACCTGCGACTACTTTCAGAACGTTTTTGGAGTGATTGCAAACTGTACGGTGTGCAATCCTCCCTACACGCGGAGCGCCTATGTCATTGGCTTTCCGTATTTAGTGCCCACAGGGGTCTGCTACTTGCCCGGTGAGTTGCGACAAGCTGGATTCACCGCTCCGGCAACCCGTTAGGCTTGCAATCTGCTCAAATGGGCACCACACTTGTGCATATAACGAGGCTGAATTGACAGCAGTCTCTTTCCTGTCAACTCCCACATTGAGTGGCCAGTACCATGATGGAAATCTTCAGCACTTCCCCAAGAGGTTCTTCGGGAAAGCCTTCAGTACCTTAAAGAAAGGGTCTTGGTCGTAGGGAAAGTGCTGGCTCTCACTCTACCTGAAGTGAAGAGGACTTAAATACTTGGGATCTGTCTTTGCAGGCCAAGACGTATGCAACCCCAACCCCTGCCAGAATGGTGGCGTTTGCTCTTACAGAACAGACGGTTCAGGACAGCCCGTGACTGACGAGCAAGGGACCAAGTTTGTTTTCCAGTGCAACTGTAGCAGCACTGGCAAGACTGGGCGAACTTGTACCGACGAGTGAGCCCCTCCCTTATAAGAGAACTCGGCAGGCTTGATTCTGCAGGCCCTTCATAACTTCAATCCATCATCTGAGGCCTTTTTCATGCATCTTCCAGCTTGGCAAAGCTTGAATCTAGCTGCGAGGTTAGCATGAATCTGGACCAGCTAACCTGCCGATGACCCACGTCAGCGATGTCCGCTGTGCTGGCAAACCAGCGTGTGCAACCAAATCCGCTTGAAGAGCAATGGCACCTTCAGTAGTTCATTTATTGTTCGAGGGCATCTTGCTTTCAGTAATCTGTCGACTTTTCTAGACATCTGAGGCGTTAATATCCAGAAAGAGGAGGCACCCAAAACGGGCTGCTTTCAGGTCTTTATACTGCACTGCTTTGGTGTTTATCAATCTGAGCCTGGACTAACTCGTTGCTCGCAACAAACCGCATGGCCCCGCTCTTGGTCACAAAGGAATCGTACGAAAATTGTTTTCACTCCTGGCCGCCTCGATGTTTGATCAACTGGCTTTAATTCCTCAGCATAACAAACCCTCTGACGTCCATTTGGGCTTCCTTGGCAGACAATCGTTCCCCCCTAACAACTGTGTCTCCTCCTCCTCAGGATTGTCCAGACTCCCAGACCGACTGCTACCGTCAACGGCGTTTCGGGACCACTTGCGTTTCCCGGTGAGGCGCTCTGACCCCTCCACCTCGTTCAACGTTGAGATAGGCTTAGTCCTGCTCTGGCGAATCATGAGGCAGTCGCTCTTGGGAGAAATTGCTCAAGATTGAGAAAGTCTTGTGGTCGATTCATCCACGTCGAAAGTCAGCTCACCGCGTTTCCGCTCCAGCAGGACCGAATTACTGTTGTCTTTGCGCAACTCATTTTGCTGCAGTCACTTCTCGTGAGACGCTTGCTTGCTTATTTGGCTTCCCCCAGAAGTACCGCCTGCTTGCTTCAAGCATCGCCTTAAGTCTGGTTGAACCTTAGAGCGAGATTTTGTCGCAAGTCTGTTAAGGCAAAGAAATCCATTGGTTTCACAACGGGACGATGTCTCAGATCCAGCCTTTAGACATCAACAAGATAAGCAACATCTGTCCCATCATAAGGTACGGCAGAGCACATAGGGTAGTTCGTTACTCATGAAGGCCAGCGGCAGCTAACCCACCTCGGGTTGGTGGTGAACCACTGGTGGTAACGGGCTGGTTAGTTGCTGGTCTTTCGTTCAAAAAGCAGCTCAAGGTCGTACCCAGGATTGTAACAAGGCTACAGCTCGGTCTTGTCCCCGCTAACTAGACACGTGGCTGGTTATCCAGCCTGGTTAGTCGCAAAACCCCCCGCAGCTGACCGTCTGAACCCTCCACTCCTTACAGCCGGGGTCTGCGGTGGTACTTCGATCGGGTGCATTTACGCTGACGGGAACCATTATCTTTGCTGCACTGGAACCGCGAGCGGTACCGGGTTTTCCGAGTGCGGTCCCCTTGGTCCCGACGGTGTACCCGTCTGCCCTGGCGAGACTTTCACGCCGACTCCCAACGATTACCCCCCGCCGGTTCCGGCGCCAACTCCTCAGCCCGAGGTTCCACTGCCAACCGGTGATCAGGGTAAGCGCCACGTCAAGGGTGTTTGTATTGTGCCGACATTCAAGATTTTTGGGGCGTCTACTTCAACTGACTCACTGCTTCTTATTGATGATCTGGAGAACGTGTTGTAATCTCCACGGACTTCCGAAGTGTTGTTTCAGTCTTTCTTGTCAGACTGTCAGCCGCTTCTGAACGGCATGTCTTCGAGCGAAACGGTGCCGCTCTCCGTACTCTGCTTCTGCTCTTGGCCGTCCGTAACCCTTTATTTACACCGTATATTCCGCTTGCATTTTGACACCTTAGAGCTTGACCTGGAGAGCCTAGGACCTTAATGTCAATCAATGAGTTCTGCTTGGTTCATGCCCTGTGAAAGCATTGTCGTTCTGAAGTCGAGAACGGTCCTTTGTGCGTCATCTCGTGCTGTCCGCTTGATGCCGGGGCGATGAAAGAGAGGTCGACCCTTCCGCCCCTTCGAAGGAAATGCTCGCTCGAAGACGTCTGCTCTCATGAGCTTCTGATCTCTTCCTTTTCAGGGGTTTGCGGCAGCGGACCCGCGGCTGACTTCCCCTTTCGCTGCTGGTTCAACAACGACCCCCAGGGCCGCTACGTGTGCTGCGACGCGGGAGGCTGCAACGGCTTCAATCCTGGCCTCGGGACGCCGCGCTGCAGAGACAACGGCTACGTGCCGCCCAACAACGGAGTGGGCGGGCCGACCCCCCCGAGCACTCCCCCGAGCACTCCCCCCAGCACTCCCCCCAGCGGAGATCAGGGTACGTGAAAACCAGCGACCAGTCTCTTCCGGGTTGTGTTGGTCCCAGGTGCCGTTGATTGTGTCAGAATCGACTAATGCCCAGATCGCAATGAGGTAGCTTCTGAATGCGAGAAGCAGAGGTTGGTTATGATCCTGGAGTACGCCAGTCACGCGCAAGCAGGAAGTAGGCTTTCAAGCAGGTAGCAAATTAGTCGGACTAGCGCCCGGCCCTGCTAGATGTATTTTGGCACGGGCTCTGAGGCTGCCCAAAGGGCTCGTAGGCGTCCAGTCCTTCTGCAAAGTTTTGGCCTTTGATCACTTTGTTTCTGGTTTCTTTCCTCTCTGCTCCAGGGAGCAGAAGCGCCCTTGTGGCAGACTTTTTACGACGTGGACGCCACCCTCGCTCGGGTCAGCGGCGCCCTGTTCAAGAAAGCCTCATCTTGACTGATGCCAGTTCGTCGTTTTCCGTCAGGAGTTTGCGGGGGCGGGGCTGCGTCTGACTTCCCGACGCGCTGCTATTTCAACAACGACCCGCTTGGGCGTTACGTGTGCTGCGACGGGCAGGGCTGCGACGGCTTCAACGCCGACAACCTGACGCCGCACTGCAAAAACTTCGGCTACGTGCCGCCCAACAACGGACTGAGCGGGCCGACCCCCCCGAGCACTCCCCCGAGCGGTCCCCCCAGCGGTCCTCCCAGCGGCTCTCAGGGTAAGCCACGTGTCCTGCACTTGGAGGTCCGGCCTCGGTCTGAGCGGTCCTGGTCTTCCGGTTACTTCCGGTAACTCGCCGAGCACATCTAGACACGGACCTAAGAGTCGATTGCTCACTTGAATACACTTTAGTCCCAATGAAAGCCGTGCCGGTTTTTTCAAGTGTTCTCAAAAGGGATCACGTACGAGCCCCATCTTACCAGAGACATTGGCGACCTTCGAGCACTGCCGCAAGCCCAGACTCGCAGCCCTAAGATCTGCATCCAAGCCTTCGTCTTTCATTAAAGTCAGGTTACTCTCTTTTCTTTGACTTTTTTGAGGATTGCGTTTTAAATCTGAACACACGACCTGATCGAGGCAAGTCATCGGCTGCGTGGGCAGGCAAACGCTTGCTTTGCGGATTATTTCGACCCTCGGCTACTTGTGTCTAGAGGCCAGGCGTCGGAAACGATTTCCTTTGAACCCCAGGAAAACGAAAGAGCGACCGTTTCAGCACTTTGAAATAGCAAACTTTGTGACGAGCGTCTTCCTTTCCCGTCTTAAACAAGTAGCCGGGAACGCTTTCTCGATAAAGAACGTGGCCGAGATCGTTCAGCGCAAGACTACAAAGTTCCGTTTGGTTCCGCGTGCTAGGCCACCGAGGTCGCTGCCTGCGAAATCGCATCCCTTACGAAGACCCGAACACGCAGTGCGCGCATCCATATTTGCATTACGCTCTTCGACTCACAGCTGCCTTGATTTCGTACCCTCTGCAGGCGTGTGCGGAACGGGTGGTGCCACAGACTTCCCGGTGCGCTGCTGGTTCAACAGCGACCCCCAGGGCCGCTACGTGTGCTGCGACAACGACGGGTGCAACGGGTTCAACCCACCGGATTACTCGTTCCCCCGCTGCAAGACCAACGGTTATGTGCCCCCTGGGTTCGGAGTCTAGTCAACTGGTCAACGACGTTCCTATCACACGCATCCTAAAGTTTTGCACCGTGTTCCGCTGGTTAGTGCGTGCAACTTCGAAACAGTAGCTATTTATTGTCGAGGGCCCCCTTACCACTATTATATGGTTCGCTTTTGGTAGCCCGGCTGGTCCGACTTACGATATGTAGAGACCCTTATAAGTGCGGAATAGGTGGAGGTGTTCAACCAGAACAACCAAGGCACACCCGGAATAAGGCCAGCTTATGAAACCTTAACGAGTCGTTTCTTGGCATAAAGGAATCTTTTACAAGTTCAAGTACCTAGATTGCTGTCTTTCAACAGATAGGCAAATGGACTCGTGATCCTTGATCCAACGTCGAATGCGAGAATCCGAGTTGTCGTAGTTATCAGTGTCCCATGTACCTAGAGTATTGATGACGCAATCATCTGAAAGAGGGGTGTCCAGCTTAGAAGTCCATCATTTAACCCACCAACACTGACACAATACCCGGAGTCACATTAGACAGCTAACTTGGCAAGGTGCAGAATTCTTTAAAAGCCTCTTTGTCATATATCGCACTGTTGCTTAACGATCGTGTTGCTTGACACAACGCCATCATCACATGCAATCAAAACAGAAGTCACTGCAATTTGCACTTCCTCATGCTCGTCAAGCAAAGATATCTAGGATTAGCACTTCTGATCACACGTCTAACACAGACAATGCATGGTGCTACTTGTTTGCCCTTGCCTCGTCCCCAATGGGGACTCCTAGGTAACTTCCCGAAGTTGAGTTACATAAGTGTAATTTAGGTACTTCTTACATTTTAGATGATGTGCTAGTTTCGGATTAGTCAATTGCCAGGGAGTTGCAACTCTTAAAACTCTTAAAGCAATGCGTAATTTGCCAAACCAACTCAATGTTAAAAAGCAAGTGCAACATGAGCATCTCACACGACCGGAAGCGGCGGCCGTGAAAACTTGACAATGGCCTCGCACTTTGATAGTGCTCTGTACTCGTGCGGCCCTTTTGAGGTTTAAAGCTCTGGAAGGGCTTGGAAGCTAGCACGCGGGTCTTCCTGGCTATGACTACAAAGCAGCAAAGGAATAATGGCGGCAGGTCTTGATAACGAAATGGGGCCTCCCTTTTCGATTTGAACTTGAACCTTCAAGGTCAAAGCTCAACGACGTGCCACGTTGGCGGGTGGTAAAGGAATTAGCCAATAGTCTCTCGAATAAAGGTTTAGCCTTACCGCGAAGCTGCAGTGACATACCGGTACCAATACAACAATACAACAACAACAATATACAAAGCATGGCGTTGGCCAAGCCAACTCAATGTCAGAAAGTGAGTGCCATGCAGCACCTCAAATGTCAATAATACGACCAGAAGCGGCGGCTGTGAAGAGATCCCCACGGCCGACGAAACCTGACAACGCCAATGGCCTCGCACCTAATGTGCTCTGAATTGCTCGTGCGGCTCTGTGATGGATAGCTCTGGCCTGGCTGCGCTGCAAGCTAGCTGACCGAGACGCGCTGCCTATAGTATCGCAGCAGCCGTGATGCCTCCTCGATCTCCAATCTGGCACAGGGAGGCACTGCATGATTGCGCCAACTACCTTCCAGGTGGAGGCATTGGATTGGTTCAAAAAGCTCGACGACTCGAGCTGAAGATTCCGCCCAGTGAAAGACCGCATGACAGTAGGCGGTAGGCACAGCCGGGGGCTGCGGCCGCCCCAATTTGAGATACAACGAGAGACCGGAGATCTGTACCGAGCAATGGGCTAAGTCACTGAGGCAAAAGGGACAATCTACACTATTATATTAGTGTCTCCGGTCGATCTGTCAGAGTAAATACTCTCACAGGGCGTCAATCTGTGCAGGCATTGGCTAATGGTCTGACATGTGTCAGAGTGATCTGTTTGCTTGGATGCGGGAGTCCTCTTTGACCGGGCACCGGCATGGTACCGAGCTACTTCCCTTGGGACCTCTCAGTTTCCCGGTGACACGGCATACTGCACACTGCACAGTCACTGCCTTTTCACTCACAGTCACAGTCACAGTCACAGTCTAGGTACCTCTTAAAGTGTCCAGTGTCAAGACTCAAGACCCACAGCATGAGTTACAGTTGGTTTTCGGCAGGTAAAAAAGCGCCGCAGCTTACGGTCACAATTAAGGTTTAAGGTGTCTCAGTCTCAGTCACAGTTACAGTCTCAACCACAGTCACAGTCACGTCAATCATAAAACAAAGTTAACAGTCACAGTCACCCGATAACAGTCTCAACCACAGTCACAGTGTCAATCATAAAACAAAGTTAACAGTCACAGTCACCCTATAACCCTATTAGGTAGCTTGAAAAGATTCAAACCTGATTGACACAGAAAGATGTGGCGGTCGTCTAGCTACCCGGCCAGCGATAGCAAGTGCCCAGATGACCGCTGTGCAGGTGTGGTACCTACCGGCCAGCTTCATAGATTTGTTCATTTATGGTCGCGGCACGGGAGGGTGTTAACACCGAAGATTTTCCGGAGACACTAATATTATAGTGTACTTTGTCCTACTTGCGTCACTGAGCCTCGAGGCCCAGGTGAATCATAGAGTCATAGGTAGAGTGACTAGAGTCACCCGCAGCATCATGACTCCATGAGCATCATGGGGCATAAGAAACGGGATCACCTTGCAAAGTCGCAGGTGGCAGGCCGCAGCACTGTTGCGCCAGCAGTCTCAGTTGATATGTATGAGCACTACAGTTGGAAAAAGGAAAGGCGCTCCACTAGAATCCTGGAGGGTAGCGCCAATTGGCTTGAATGATGTCAAATTGTCAATCCACAGATAGTGTCCTTTGAGTAGCAGGTGCGCGCCAGGGTTGATCACTGCTGCATTCCACAAGACAGTCTTCACTCATTGGCTGCAAGGCTTAAGCACGTCTCCTCTTGCAAAGCACAGCATTGCACGTCCGTCTTTCTTTCCCACAGTATCAGGCACCTAGTGAATCATAGCTGAGGTCATTGCAGCAGACCGCAATGGTGGCTTTCAACAACAACGTGGTCTTTGTGCTGCTGGCATTTATGCTCGTATTGCATGGGGCTCAGCTGGCGCAGGGGCAGGCTGCTGAGGTGTCACTGTCATGCCCCGTCGGATATCTGGTGCAAGCTGCCCGTAATGTCCCAACGTAAGTGCCATTTCTTGAGGCAAAGATATGTTGCTTGAAGATTAGAGCTGCAGGTCTCACTTCCACTTCTCCTCTACAGATCAATGTGCCGCACTCGATTCTGCAGACTTAAGTTGGCTCTAGTGGCAGAATTTTGATTGCCAGTTAATGCTCCAGGATTCCACATGGGCATTGCCTAAGTACCTTTAAACAGTGCAACGACCATTGTTTTGGGCTACAGGCCACCCCCATGCCTCGGGTTCAAGCCACATTCACGACTGCCATAGACTCATAAACTGCTAACCTCTGTAACCAATCTCCGCCCACACTCCAGAAAGCCAAACTCAATTAGAAAGAATCAGAGTTTTGAGGTTTGCGACGTCAATGCCGTGCACTGTGTGCAGGTCTTTGGCAAGCTACTGACTTTCATTTCTTGCTCTTTGAAGGTATTTTTGCACGACCGACCCCTGTTATGAGAACCCTTGTGGTCCTGATGAGTGCGCTCTGATGCTTCCACCTATTGGAAAATCAAGCAAGCATCCTTGTCGTCAAACCCGCAAACTGCCAACGAGGTCTAAGCTTACTGTGAAGCTGGTGAAGATACTGCATGAATTGAACTTCTCAGAATGAATGCCCGTGACCAGCACTCAGCAGACCCTTAGACTGCTTTTATCCTGCCCTCACAAGGCTGCTTTTATCTGAGCTGCAAGCACACTCCTTTCTGGCGTGGCTAGATGTGGGGGTAATCTGAAATGCCTTTCCTATCATCCTTGAGTACAGTCATGCTTGCAAATGGTTTGCCTTCTTTGCTGCAAATGAACTCCCACCCACAATCAGTCTGGTTGGAACTCAGCATTCTACTCAACATCCTGCAACAAGCAATGCCTGCTCTTGGTTTGCAGGTAACCCCTGCGACAACTTTCGATACAGTTTTGGAGTGACTTCCAACTGTACGGCGTGTAATCCTCCCTACAAGAGGGGCACCTATATCATCGGTTTCCCGGACATAGTGCCCCTTGGGGTCTGCTACTTGCCCGGTAAGTTGCGGGACATCAGGTTCAAAGCTTCATAGCCCGCTAGGCTTGCAAAAAATTGCTCAAAAGGGCACCACAATTGTGCACATACGGAGGCTGAACTGACAGAATGGATGGATGGAGAACAGGGACTCCCGGCGGGCTCCCTACTGGACCCCCTTCCAGCATAATCCTTCGATCGACGGTCAAGATTGATGGTTTTGATCAACCTCGACCGTTGATCAAAAGGGGTTATAGCTAGGAGGGGTATCTAAATATCGGCTTGGGAGTCCATGTTCTCCCTCCTTCCGTTCTGACAGTAGTCCTTTTTCTGTCGACTCAAATATGGATCGGCCAATACCATAACGGAAATCTTACAGCCTTCCCCTAAGAGGTTCTTCAGGAAAGCCTTCAGTACCTTAAGGAAAGGGTCTTGGGTAGTAGGGCTGGGTCTCACTCAAACCCCAGACCCTTGAACTGAAGAGGATTTTCATATACATTCACACTTGGGGTCGTTCTGCGCAGGCCAAGACGCATGCAACCCCAACCCTTGCCAGAATGGTGGCGTTTGCTCCTACAGAACGGACGGTTCAGGGCAGCCCGTGACTGACGAGCAAGGGACCAGGTTTCTTCTAGGGTTTTGCAACTGTAGCAGCACTGGCAAGACAGGGCGGTTCTGCGCCGACGAGTGAGCCCCCTTAACAGGCTTGTGTTTGCAAGCCTTTCAAGAGTTCAATTGACGAAGTGCGTTTCTATCATGCATCTTTCAGCTGAGCAAAGTCTGGACTAGCTAACCGTTCGAAGACCGACAACAGCGGTATCCGTTGTGCTGGCAAACAGAGGTGTTTCACCAGAATCGCTCGTTGACGAGCAATGGCACCTCAGATAGTTCAAGGGTTTTCTGAAGGCATCTTGCTTTCGTGGTCTATAAGCAGTCGACTTTTGCTGGCATCTGAGGCGTTGATATGCAGAGAGAAGAGGCATCAAACGGGCTGGTTTTAGATCCCAGTACCTCACAGCTGGTTGTGTACTGGACAAACCTTTAGTCGAGCTTGGACTAACCCTTTGCTCGAAACAACCGCATGCCCTCTCTCTCGGTTACAGAGGACTCGTACAGATTTCTTCCACTGCCGGCCACCTCGTAACCGCGTTGGGCAATCAATTGGCTGCACGTTTAAAGTTCCTCAGCACAACACTCGTCTGATATTGTCCGGTTGGGCTTCCTTGGCCGTGAATCTTCCCTTCAAAAACATGTCTCCTCCTCCTCAGGAATGTGGAGGCTCCCATACCGACTGCCACCGTCAACGGCGTTTCCGGACCACTTGCGGTGGCAGCAAGTGAGGCGCTTTGAGAAGTTCAAACTGTTTACTTTCGTAGGACATGTAACTTTGGCTAGCAAAGGGTGGAGGCACCCACTCGTGGTTGCTAGCTCAACTTTGAAAGTGTTTTACGGTCAGTTCGTCCTAGTCAAAGAACAGCGTTTTCTTACCACGGGTTCAGACAACATAATTCTAGCACGTCTAATTTGCTGCCGCAACTCGTTCTGTTGCCTTCGCTTCTCGCGAGACGCTTGCTGGATCATTTGGCCCCCGAAGAGTGCCGCCTGAGTGCTTCAACAATCAAGCGGAACTGCAGGTTCCACAAAGAGACGGTATCAGCTCAGATCCGCTCTTTGGACATCAACGATATGGTCTTATGTCAGAGCGCACAAGGTACTTTTGTGCCCATGAAGGGCGAGCGAGAGAATCTCGCAGCTAACTCACCGGGTTTTAAAACCACTGGTCCAAATACGGGCTGATTAGATGCTGGTTTCAACATCGAAAGGCAGGTTCGAACGATAACCAGAGTCGTAACAAAGCTACAGCCCGGTTGTGTCCCCGTTAACCAGACACGTGGCTGGCTATTCAGCCTGGTTAGTCGCAAAACCCCTCGTAGCTGACCATCTGAAGCTTCGAAATTCCACTCCCTGCAGCCGGAGCCATGCTCTGCGGCCAAGCTTTTGCGATCGGCTGCCTTTACCCTGACGGGAAGCACTACACTTGCTGCACCGGTGCCGTGAAGGGTTTCGGGCTCTCCGAGTGCGGTCCTGTTGGTCCGGACGGAGTACCCATCTGCCCTAGGGAGGGTTTCACGCCGACCCCCAATGATTTTCCCCCGCAGACTCCGCCGCCGACTCCGCAGCCCGAGGTTCCACTGCCAACCGGCGATCAAGGTAAGCGCCACGTTGAGGGTATTATTGTTGCGCCGATCTCCAGCGGATCCAACGGATCTGGGAGTTTAGGCGTCGACCCTTGACTGTTTGACTGCTGTGATCTGGAAGACGTGTTCATGAGTACTCCGTAAATTGCACGAGCTTCCGAAGTGCGGTCGCTTATTGTCTTTTCTTGTTAGACGGTCAGCCGCTCCTCATTGTCATCCCTTCGAGCGAAACGGTGCCGCTCTACCTACAGCTCTTTTGCCCTTGGCCGTCCAATCCTTTACTCACACAACCTATACCGCTGGCATTTTGACATCTTAGCGCTTGACCAGGATGAGCCTAGAACCTTAATTTGAATCATTAAGTTCGGATCAGTTCACGTCCAGTGGAATTAGCGTTTCTGTGCTAAACTCATCGCTTGTGCGTCATCTTGTGTTGTCCGCTCCATTCCTGATCCTACGAATCCGACGAAAGGGAGGTCATCTCTCCGCCCTTCTGGTAGAGCCCAACTAACGCTGGCTCGAAGACGTCCGCTCTCCATGAGTTTCGGATCTCTTAATTTTCAGGGGTTTGCGGCAGCGGACCCGCGTCTGACTTTCCCTTCCGCTGCTGGTTCAACAACGACCCCCAGGGCCGATACGTTTGCTGCGATCGGGAGGGCTGCAACGGCTTCAATCCTGGCCTCGGGACGCCGCGCTGCAGAAACAACGGCTACGTGCCGCCCAACAACGGAGTGAGCGGGCCAACCCCCCCAAGCACTCCCCCGAGCAGTCCCCCCAGCGGAGATCAGGGTGCGTTGATCCTACCGACCCAGTCTCTTCCGGGTTTAGTCTCGCCTGACTGCCCTTGACTCTATTCGTGCACGCTTGACTGTTTCCAAAGCTAAAGAGGGACATCTACTGTCTTAGCTCTTGCAACGAGCTAGCTCGTGAATGTTGCGAGCCTTACGTTGGTGATAAATTTGAGATGCTTCAGTATTGTGTCACGGAAGGTGGTTGATTTTCGAGCCTTGTCGAGCGGGTGGCAAGATTTCGAGTATCGTTCTGCCCTGCGAGACGTACTTTCGCACAACTCTCTTGTCTTCACAGAGGGCTTGCAGACGTCCCATTTTTCTACAAGGTTTCTGGTCTTCAATCGATCCTTCTCTGGTCGACTCCCTTCTGCTCAAGGGCAGCCGAAGGCTGTTTGGGAAACTTCTTCACGTTAACGCCTCTCTCGCTCGAGATCAGCACCCTCTTCGAAACAACTCACTTCAACTCATACCAATCCTTCCCCTCCGTCAGGCGTTTGCGGCGGCGGGGCCGCGTCTGACTTCCCGACGCGCTGTTATTTCAACAACGACCCGCTTGGGCGTTACGTGTGCTGCGACGGGCAGGGTTGCGACGGCTTCAACGCCGACAATCTCACTCCGCACTGCAGAAACAACGGCTATGTGCCGCCCAACAACGGGCTGAGCGGGCCAACTCCCCCGAGCGGCTCTCAGGGTAAGCCACGTGTCCCGCATTTGGAAACTCCGATAGCAGTGTGAGCGGTCCTGGTCCTTTCGGCTACTTCCCGAGCACGAGTCAGACGACCCGGGCTCAACCGTTGGTTTCTCGTTGAAAATACTGATCTCCGGTGAAAGCAGTGGCGGTCCGTCGGGTGATCTCGGGCAATTATTCACGGTATAAAGCGCCCCTTTTTAATAGGGACCTAGTAGTTCTCGAGCATCCTGCCAAGCCTTCGTCATTCGTTAGGGTCAGGTTGACTTTTTGAGGATGGCATTTCAGAATTGGACATACGACGGCGGAGAAATACGTCATCATTTGCATGGGCAAACGCTTGCTTCGCGGGATCCTTCGATCGTCGGCCGCTTCTTGCCCTTGGAGACCAGGCGTCGAGACCAATCTCCGTAAAAACACCACGGACGAAGAAGCTACCGTGTCAGCATTTCAAAAGAGCAGAGCTTGTGACGACCGTCCTCGCCTCCCTGGCCAAGCCTTTGTTGAGAAGTGCCTGCAGAAACAGATTTCTCCATTTCCAAGGAGCTTCAAGGAGCTTCAACGTTTCAACTGCCAGTCCTCGTTACCTTGGTCGAGCGCCGTTTCTGACTCTCTTCCCTCCTTGAAGACGCTTTTTCCGAAGAAGAACGTGGTCGAGATCATCCAACGCAACAGTACGAAACCGTCCAATTCCAGCGTCGCAGCGTGCTAGGCCGCCGAAGTCCCTGCATGCAACAACTATCCAATTACAAGACCCGAACACGCAGTGTGTGCATCCACTTTCAAACAATTTCCAATTCACAACTGCTTGTTTTCGTATCCTTTGCAGGCGTATGTGGAACGGGTAGTGCCACAGATTTTCCGGTGCGCTGCTGGTTCAACAGCGACCCCCAGGGCCGCTACGTGTGCTGCGACAACGACAGGTGCAACGGGTTCAATCCGCCTGATTTCTCGTTCCCCCGCTGCAAGACCAACGGCTATGTGCCTCCTGGCTTCGGGATCTAGTGGATGACGGTCTAATCACACGCCATCAAAGTTTTGTACCGTGTTTCGCTGGTTAAAAGTGCGTGCAAATGAGGAATAGCAGCTATTTAACGTTGAGGCTCCCTAACCAGAACTAGACGGTTCGTTTTTGGCAGCACGGTCCGAGTAAAGCATTGGCATAGTAAGAGACTAGGTGCGTCGCGGCTTCAAGCAGAACAATCAGAGCACCCCCCGAGTTAAACGGACCAAGTTATTGAAATCTTATTTATGTGTACTGTCGCTTGGCGTTAGGAAATGTTCGACAGAATGATTGTAGTTGCAGGCCTTTGAAGCGGAACACCTAGATATGCATGAACTGTTAGTCCTTGAAAGGAGGGTGAGGAAGACGGGGTTGTAATAAATCCTTACGCGAGTCTTGTCGGACGCAATTTTTAGATTACCGGTGTCCAACTTAGCTTAATCGCCAAACCCACCAACACGTGCAGACAATTCGCAGAGTCACATTAGGCAGTCGCAGCTAGATAGCCTGGCAACGTGCAATTTTTCCGACATCGATTTCATGGCGGCATGCCAACTAATTAACGCCGTTTCAAAGAAGTTGCGTTGCACTCTATTAGTAACGACCATCATTGAATGCATTTTGTTGAACACATTATTGGATGCACACTTTTGCTATGGACTGAGTGACAATAGTATTCCTTTAAAACAAACGCGATGGTGCTATGTGCCCTTGCCTGAGTCCTGTGTGGAACTCAAAACAGGTGAATCTTTGTGTAAGTACGCGGTTACTTCGTCAGGCTTACTTCAGATGTGCAGTTATAATCAGGTGGCCACTTTTGCCAGGAACTTTCAAGACGATTGACATCTGATAAATGCCATCTCATAAATGCTTCGACGGGGCACTGCTTTGAACCACTTTAGGTATGAATACCTGGGGTGAGCTCAGTGTAGCCTGTCAGCCTGTAGCCTGTCACCAACGCCAGCTTCCAGCTAGGTAGATCGTAATTGGGGTTGGTTGTCACGGGGTTGTCACGAGTCCGGTCTCGCCGCTGCACTGCTGTGACGGTGGCGGCCACAGTGCGGTGTGGACTCTGGAGTCAGCGAAAATTGCGGAGATGGGAGAGCGGACCAGTGATTGCCACCAACTTTGGCCGGCGCCGGCAATCTACCGGCCACCCTTCGTTCCTGCCGGCTGAGTGTAAGTTTCTACCGGCTTCCCCCAAGTCCCCGGATCCATTTAGCCGGGTATCTGGACAGTCTCTCAGCTAATCTCAGCCGGTACCCGGTCAAACACGCCGGTTTTTCAGCCGGAGCCCAGCCGGCTGAGTGCCTTCGGCACCGGTTAGACCCTCGCTCCAGCCGGCTAGGTCCACACACAACACCGGTTCGTGGCAATCACTGGAGCGGACTGGATCCAGGCCCCGGGGGAGCTACCGCCCTCCTGAATGGAGTGACAAAACGGTGGGCGGTACCCCGTACCGAGCATTCTCAGGTTAAGTCTGGGTTGAGTCACCCTCTAATCATTATGGCCGAGCCCATGTGGCCACGCACACGTACGAGTCACTCGACCGAGGGCCGAGTCACGTCATCGGGATCACCTTGCTAGTACCGTACTGATATAAATAAAGTTTAATACCTATAAGGCATTGTGACCTATAAGGTACTGTATTGTGTAAGAGGACTGTACTTTTAATGATTGCGCGGTCGTACCCCGCGCTGCGCGGTGCGTACCCGCGAAGCAGCCGGGCCTACCCTGGGACATTAGGGTCTCGCAAGCAACCGGGTGACAAGAAGGCCCTCCCTCTGACATTAGGGTCTCGCAAGCAGCCGGGTGACAACCGGGCACTTCCCAGTAACATTAGGGTCTGTCGGTCACATTACCCTAGGTTTTTAGTGTTTGCCCGGGGCCTCACATGCACAGTATTCCTCTACGGTTGAAAACGAATTCCTTATAGGGAATGTACCTTATATGTATTAAACTTTATGGTTATCGGTACTGAGCACTCATGAGCACATCGCGATAAAGTTGGTGGCAAGCACTGGCAATTAGCAGTCTCGCCTGTACCGGTATTGTACACTTCTTTCCTCAACAGTCAAGGCTCGTGCAGTGCTGATTGAAAATCTATCTCAATGATGAAGGTTGAGACACCGTCTAGCTGGCATTGTATGAGTTGTTCTGCGGCAAGGACGCTGCTGAACCGGCCCTGGGCTTCAGTGTCTCATCAAGCGCTGGTTGGTCCTTTGAAAAGCACGCACTGAAGGACCTTATACGCCATTGGCATTGCATATCACACACCACCGGCAGAGCGGGCTGGGACGTCAGTCCTCTTGCAGCAGAAAACGCAGCTTTCCTCGTCTTTCCTTCCCGCATCTGGAAATATTGTGCAGTGGCGCAGCTGTGCGCAATGGCGGCTTTCCGTAACAATGTGGTGTTTATGCTGCTGGCATTGCTCGCACTGCAGTCTGGGACGCAGCCTGCGCAGGGGCAACCTTCCGGTGTGACAAAGTCATGCCCTCCCGGATATCTGGTGCAGAGCAATCGTGGGGGACCCGGGTAAGCACTTTTGACGCAGGCGAAATTATGATTGGGAGCTGAACTCACCGGCATTTCTCCCCTGCAAAGCTGGCAACTCTTGTATGGATAGAGGTCAGGTTTCAGTCATCCCGCAGTGACTAGATTGACATGGAATGTCTGTCTGGGCAGTGCGCTGACTTTGACGGAGGAACCAGATTGAGCTGACATGTGCCTCATAGCTCACCTTCGAGAAACATGTGCATACTTTCTCAGACTATCTTGGATTAAACTCTGACGCTTGCCAGAGACTCAAGGGTCTACTGCACCACCGCAAGGAGCTTGGTTTAGATGGTGCCATAAAGCATTCTTATCCGGGTCCTGATTTATAATGAGCTTTGTCCTTGACAGGTCCTTCTGTACTCCTGATCCTTGTGTTGGGAACCCTTGTGGTCCTGGTGAGTATGTTTAATGTTCCTTTCTTGCCTTAGAACCGTCAGCAAGTTTACTTTACCATCCAGCCATTCTCACCGCAGCATCCTCAATGAGTCATGAATAAGCTTTCAAGCTGGTGGCAACTCAAAAGAAGACCTCACAACAGGAGTGTTTATGGTCAGGGCTGTACAATTGTCGATTGTTCAGACTTTTAGCAGCTTTTAGTTTTGCAAACAGCTGCTTGAGTTTAGCAACATACAAGCATTTTCATTTGCTTCCTTTCTCTATCTGGCAAATATTTGTGGGTGGACTGATGAGACCTTGTCACAACATATACATGCAGTCAATGTTGAAAGTTCTTGTCTCCCAGTTCAGATAGACTCCCTCCATTCCAAACTATATGATTGAAGAGAAGAAGCACCCTTCACTTGACCTTCTTAGAAATGACCTTAATGTGTTTGCCTGCTCTTGTCTGCAGGTAACACATGCAGTATCCAGGGGTCATTTAATGGACCAGTTCCTGATTGTGGTTGCAACCCTCCGTACAAGAGCGGCGTTATTCCAGGTCAATTCAACTACAGAGTCTGCTACATCCCTGGTAAGTGAAGGGCCGCCAAAGGGCACTGATTTGACTCGTTCCTGAGAAGCGCCAAAGTTGCTGTTTAGTGGATACAAGGGTTCAAATGATTGGGGCTAGGAAACTCCTCTAAAAGCGCTTACTTGAGGAGTTGTTGCAAAGGCGGCCTGGTCTTTTCACTGGACTGCGAAGGAAGAATTTGATCTTGATTGGTTGAGATATGACCCTGCGGCATGGTTAATCAACCTACATTGTGCTCCAATGAAAAAGCCAGGTCTTTCTGCCTTGCATTTCAGTATCATGATGCTCTTTTCGTGGATTCAATCTATTTGCTTTTTCTGCTCAAAGATCTTCATCGAGTGCCGTAAACCTCAATTCGAATGTCCTCACTAAATCTCAAGAATACTACAATGGTCTCAAAGTATCTGTTTTAAGGTAAGTTATCCCTTTCTTGGAACTTGCAAAAGCTGGACAACGTTACCGAGACTTAGGTGTTGTTCAACCAAGTATCACATAAATGGCTGGTTAAACCACTCATTGTCAATCCTGCTGAGATAGTGATGACTACCGTTTTGCCAATTGGGGCGTCGCTCCTGTTTGCGAATCGTGCTGCTTCACGACTGGTCTTCACCCAAGACTGATACGGAAGCCTATTACCAGCACTTCTCTAAGTCTCCCTGGTTAACCCGACCAAGGTTAACCATGCTCATTACTGGTCGTTCCTTGCATGTCCAAGTAACACCTGTGCTGTTCATGTCTGCGCAGGCCAAGACGCTTGCAATCCCAACCCGTGCCAGAACGGGGGCACATGCATCTACAGGCAGGGCCCTCTGGGTGAACCCCTGACAGACGACCAAGGAACTAGATACGCTGCCCGATGCGATTGCGGCCCCACTGGGTTTACGGGACCGACCTGCAGCGACCCGTGAGTCAATCTTTCATAAGCAAGGTTGACAATGTGCAGGGTTCTCTCACGTGATCCGGGTTCATTAGACTCGGCCTTGCATGCGTCGGGCTTGGAAATATCAAGGCTTGTGTATTTATCTGAAATTCTGGTCAGATGAATGCAAAAGCGTCGCTGATGACCTCCAGCAGAGAACTTTGTCGTGCTGACGACCCGAGCCTAGGCTAGAAGCGCTCATGCGAAGCGCACTGCCAGCTCGAGTACTGGGGATCGGTTGAAACGCTAGCGTCACAGGAAGCTCTCGATGCTTCTAGAGTTTTGTCATCTGTGCAAGTCAAACCCTGTGTAAGGATTTCAAAGCGACGAAGGGGAGCCGTCAGAAGGGACTGAATTTGAGTCCAAAACGGTGCTTTTTCGAAGTTCTGCATGGTATCCAATCAGACAATCAGTGGAACATCGGCACACCCTTTCGCTCGATATTGTGTATGGATTTCTGTTCCTCCTTTCTTGGTCACGGACTCTTTTAACCACTTCGTCGTTCAGGCCCGCTACCACTTGCGATGCACTGGCCGAATGACTTGGTATCTTCTCATCGCCCTTACCAAGAACTTCTGTCAGGCTCTCTGCGTACCAAGAGTGTTATGCCAAACGCTGTTTCTCCCTGTCTGCAGGTTCCGGGAAAGCCCCCCTGTGATTGCTACTGTAAACGGCGTGTCGGGCCCACTTGCGAGGGCATTGCTGGGTGAGGCGCTCTAACTCATCCAACAACGAGGATAAACAAATGCTCGCTTTCAAACCGAAGCTGTCACCGAAGCTGTCAGGAAACACACTCACTGCTTCTGACACTTCTTACCCTGAGGAGGTTGCTTGAAAGTGACCCGAGTCCTTTGCTTTGTCACATCCGAAACGATTGGAGGAGTCTACGTCCTCAAAGGACTTCAAACATACGCGCTCTCATGCGCCCGAATCGATTGGTTCTGCGCTCTGATTGATTGCGATGGCTTCCGATGCGAGTGCCGGTCGCCTGTTTGCATCGGCACCCTCGAGCTCACTTTCTGACTTTGTCAAGCATCGGCCAAGGCTCGGTTGCACTTGTTGAGAAGGAGTCTAAGACATCTTGTCGAGAGGAAAGCCCCGAAGAGTTGGGGCGCGCTTGGATATGCTGGTGCCCACAACCATGGTTTCTCCATTGTCCTGTAGTGAATCGTCGATACCAGAAACGGCATCATTCGGAATCCTGACACGAGGCAAAGGGCGCTTACTGAGCATTGTCGGTTGAGAGCAAGCCAGGACGTTTTGCAGCTGACCCTTCGCCTCGTTGCCATGCAGAATTCATCTGCGGCTCGAATAGCCTCCCGCCGATTCCCTGCCTTTACGCGAGCGGGAAGCAGTTCATCTGCTGTGCCGGATCCGAGTGCGGTCCCATTGGCCCAGACGGAAACACCCCCATCTGCCCCGGCGAGGGGTTCACCCCGTCCCCCAATAACTACCCGGCGCCAACTTCGCCGACTCCTCAGCCCCCTCCACCGGGCAGTCAGGGTAAGCGCGCTGTTGAGTAATTGTACCAAGCTAGACTGTCAGGACGTTAGGGGGCGTTATCGTCGATCTGATTCACTGTTTCTGTTGCAAAACTTAGAAGACGCGTCTTGGGGCATTTGTGGGACCTGCACAAGCGTTCAGATTGTTGTCGTTACTTCTCAGCTTGTCAGCCGTGTTTTCCTTGGACAAAACGGTTCCGGTTCCGTCGACGTCCTTTGATCTTGCTCTTGGCCGTCCGCAGCCCTCCGCTCACGCGATGGAGTCGGCTCGCTCTATTGCTCTACCTTGGGGCGTGACCATGACCCGAAAAGCCTGCTTCTGCCCTAATCTGGTCCGTTGTTCTTGATCGCAGACCTGCGAGGAAGGCTTGTTACAGTTCATTTGTATCAAAAGAACGTTCGTTTGTTCCCGTTTGCTGTCCGCTTGATGCCGACGCGAGGGGAAGGAGGTCGTTCCTTTCTGACGACCGTATCATAAACGCACGCCATCCTTCGAACTTTCCTCTTCGCTTCGTCGCATGATACTTCAACGCCCTTCATCACACATATTCATTTCCGTCAGGAGTCTGCGGAACCGGGGACGCCTCGCCGTTTCCCAACCGCTGCTATTTCAACAACGACCCCCAGGGACGGTACGTGTGCTGCGACAACCAGGGCTGCGACGGTTTCAACGCCGATAATCTGACGCCGCACTGTAAGAACAACGGCTACGTGCCGCCAAACAACGGGCTCAGCGGGCCGACTCCCCCGAGCACCCCCCCGAGCACTCCTCCGACCGGAGACCAGGGTACGTGGAAATCACCGACCAGTGTTTTCTCTGATGCGATCTGTTGCACGTATTTGTGCAAGCTTGTCTGGTAAAGAAAGCTGGAGTGAAGCGCTGCACCTCTGTTCCGCGTGCGCAATGAAAAGCTTGCAAATGCTGCGGGCGGAAAGGTAATGAGAATTTCGAAGCGCATTGTCTGCCCCGAAAGGACTTGGAAGTTCGAGCCTCGTCAAGCCGATATGGCTAGCATTCTGCCCCGCTCATGTAAGGCGTGCGTCTGCAGCAGGCAGTCCTTCCGCAAGGCTCCAGGAAACTGTTACCCTTTCGCTTGGGGATCAAGGAGGACTCGTTTACATTGATGGTTGTTCCAATCGATCCAATCTTTACGTTCTTCACAACCGCCCGGTTTGACACATGCCAATTCTTCCCATCTGTCAGGCGTCTGCGGAAGCGGCGCAGCCGGCGCTTTCCCCACGCGCTGCTATTTCAACAACGACCCTCAGGGCCGCTACGTGTGCTGCGACGGGCAGGGCTGCGACGGCTTCAACGCCGACAACCTGACGCCGCACTGCAAAAACTTCGGCTACGTGCCGCCCAACAACGGACTTAGCGGGCCGCCCCCCCCGAGCACTCCCCCGAGCGGTCCCCCGAGCGGCTCTCAAGGTAAGCCACGATTCTTGCTTGGACAAAACTTGCATATCATCTGAGCACGACTCTCAGGCGGAACGCACAGGGACCTCGAAATGAGTGACGCTAGCCCTCCGGTCGACTTTTCGGGCGACGTTCCGAGCCGCTCTTGACGTGAGAAGGGCGCGAGCGCTCTCCCGAGCACGTGGCAGCTCGGAGGCTGAACAAGGCGGCGTGACGCACTCCTTAATAGGAATGGGTTCAGCTCGTTCCTGGCGTTTCGTGCAGCGGCTCCATCTATCGGTGATTGACTGCTAATGTAGGAAAAGGTTGTCAAAGAGCTTGCAGAGTGTCGGATCCTTGACCTTTTGACAGTTTGGAAATTCGCGATTGAATGCATCATGACAGCGATCAAATCTCAGAAGAGAGTAAGTTGCCGATTATGGCATACTTGGGCGAGCATCTGTCTAGTCAGCACGACCATCAGACCAGTTTTTCTCGACGTGCATTGCCCAAACACTCATGGCGCAAGCTCAGGGTCGAAGTGCGTAAAAGGTGAACGGCTCAAAAGCACATCAAATCCTAAAGCCCCGGAGCAAATGTGGGCTCCGGGGGCCCACATTTGTTGCTCCATGAATCGAGTCGGCTGATACCATACTTGGAAGTCAAGAGCGTGGGTCCCTTGAGCCCCAATCCCATGTATCTTACGGTGCAGGCGTCTGCGGCACGGGTGGTGCCACCGACTTCCCGGTGCGCTGCTGGTTCAACAGCGACCCCCAGGGGCGTTACGTGTGCTGCGACAACGACGGATGCAACGGGTTCAACCCACCTGACTTCTCGTTCCCTCGCTGCAAGACCAACGGATATGTGCCCCCTGGGTTCGGTGTCTAGTAACTGAGAGTCTATTTCGTAGACCAGATTCTTAGAAGTATGTCGCCCTTAGAACCGCGTGCAGATCAGAGAATATCGGCTATTTATTGCAATGGCCTTAATTCTGGCAAGCGTTTTTGGCATCCTGGTCCAAGTTAAGCAGGCTTCGAACTTCGTGGTCCTCAGGTACTAGGTTGAGGTGTTCAAGCAAAAGAACGAAAGCTACCGTAAATACACTGACCGAATCGTAGAACAGTAAGAGTCATTGCTTGGCATCACGAAACCGGTAGACAAAGTCGGGCAGCTCACAATCCTTTTGATCAAGACACGCAGATATGCATGGACTCTCTCTGAAAGGAGGTGAGAGAGACCAAGTTTTGTAGTTCCAAGTGTCCCCGCAGCCTTTAGGTAGAACAGGGTCGATCAGCCCAAAGGTTGGCCATGACCCACTAACACGCGTGCATACTCGAGGTAACATTTGGTAGCTAGCCTGGCAAGGCGACCTTTAGTGAAGTTTCTTCAAATTACAAGTCGTCGGCCATCGCAAAGCCGTTTTGTCAATGTTGCATACTTCCTACGACCTCCAAAAGTTGCCTGCGCAGCTCGGGCTTTCATGCAACTTGCAAAAGCCGTGACTGGATACGTGAGTCTTGCTTACCTGTCCCGTAGTTCCTGCTCCAAGACTTGGTGGGTATTCCATCAGCAAATCAGGATCATTTGAACGAATCAAAAATTACTCGTTCTGATATATGAAATGCCATGAGCGACTCTAGCTCTTACTTTCTTCAGAGAACAATCGATTTGGATTGGGGAAATGTCGTCCGTGACTCGGAGCTTGATGGAACTAACGTCTTGCTCGATCCGACTAGGTATCAATCCTGCACTTGGGACCGCATGGATCATGCGGCTGCACGCACCTAGAGTGCACATGGGTCGATTCGAGGACTCTAGCTTCGAGCTATCCGCCATGTACAAGTTGAATAGCTTGCATGCCGCCATTGTTGTTAGCTCCGTGTGCAGTCTGACCTCCATTTGAACCGATCGAAACACGATTGGAGCTTTCTGACACTGAGGCGCGCATAAGCATGGTTCGTTTCCTCCCAAACTCGGTCACTGAGTCATACACTGACAAAATCATGCATGTAAATTTTCGCCCATCATTATATGCATAATCGCACAGATCCTGAAATGGAATGACATACGAATGGCCCTCAAAAGACGTTTTGTGCTTTCGAATTGCGTTGAATTAAAGAGCTAGCAACGACACATCAGACGACCGGCTTCGGGCTTCGGGCAACGGACATTGATAAGAGCAGCCTAAGACCATGGAAAATCAGCTTAGCATGCCAATGTTTACCCTCAAAGTCACTTCTTGAGAGAAGACTCTCAGTCATGCAGTGAGTCGCTCCTTGCCGAATCAATGAAAGCTTTGAGTAGCAATTGATCTGGTCCAATACTCTATGCTATATATACACTGGCATGCGACGGTGCGCTACCACGAAACAAGTGCGCAGAATGCAATGCAATCTGTAAAACGTCCTGACTCCATGACACGACGACTATCATGAACGCCAGACCCGCAACACATCGTGCGGCAGGGCCGCTTCCTGCTCAATGTCTTCTTAGATCTAAAGCTAGCTCTATATCCGGAAGCTCGACATTCTGTCAAGCAACATGGGCACCCACGAATTGATCCCCCGCGCCAGCATCGGCAGCAACTCGCTGAGTTGCTCGTCAGCAAAGTCAATCATCAACTCCCAAAAATACAGATCGGTCGCCAGCGCCAACGAAATCAGCAGCATGGCTGCGGTCTGGGACCGGTTGAGCGGCCAATTCGACAGCGCGCGCAAGTCAGATAGAATCTTTTCCAGGGGGTCGATTCCGCTGGAAAGCGGGTCCGCCCGGTTGGTCATCCGCCATGCAGTCCGCCACTGCGTCTTGGTTCGCGTTAACCCAAACTCGGTTAGCAGGCGGTCCTCGATGTCGGGCAAGTGGGCGCTGCCGTAAAAGATGGCAATCCGCCGGTCGCCCCGAGCGATTGCTGCACAGGAAAATCGCGTAGCTTAGTTAATCACGTCCACAAGCATCTGGACCTTGGTGTAACGGCTTTCCTGACATGTGAAGATCGACAGATCACTCGCTAGTCAGCCGATCTCATCCCAAGAGAATTGAGAATCTCTGAGATGCATCTGTCTTTTTCGCTACACTCGTTCCCGCAGTTGATGGTGAAGCAACTCCCTCTTCATCCGAACATGACGTAATGTCGTGTTGAAGGGGGAAGTTGACGCCTAGGGTGTAAGAGATTAGCACCATGCCTGAGGAAAAAATCATAGGCTAAAACCGCACACTACCAAAGTGCATCCAGTAATTTATTCTGACAAATCACAAATCGGCGACGTCTCTTCCAAGTGACCCCTCTGCTGCCTGCTTTTACTCTTGGGGCCATCAGCCAAGTCCGCGCAGATCCCCCTTCATGTCTGGCTGCCGGATCGCTTCACCAATTCGGGCTTTAGCTAGGGCCAGGATCACTGCCCCCATCGCGCCCCAAGCCCTTCCCAGCAATGTACCGCTCAAGAACCTCAAGCGATTGCATGTCCTGCGAAAGACTTCGTTCAGATGTCGGTAATGAAAAGACTGGCAGGAACAGACTGGGCCTCTCACCTCGTTCCAACTCTTTCAACGCAACGGCGTTTCGTTCGCCTATGATGACGGAGCTCCTGACGTCGTCGCTGGCGTCTTCGAACTGTTTGAACATGCTGGGAAAAGGAGGACGAAGCTTCAGACTGTGCGACAGGAAAAATCAGAAATATCTAGTCAAGTACATGTTTGCCAAGCGTCTCAAAAGTCCAACTACGCCGCAATGACTCTTGCAGGTTTTCCAACCCTTACGTGGTCGTTGGAGCCTGTGGCTTATTGCCTCCATCGTTCGACAATCGAAGGATTGTGCTCTCTTGTCACCGGACATATGCACAGGATTCGAGCCAATATCGGCAGCAACCAAGAGCTACTCACACAGTGAGGAAACACCCAGCACGATTGCGGTGTTCCCAATCAATGTTGACAGACTTTGTTGATGCCATTTTGACAAGGAGAAAAGAGTAAACAACCTGATCGAGGCAAGCCGCTTCCCGGCAGACAATCTCCGAAACACGAACTAAAGAGGTGGGAGAAATTGGCCCGCCATAACCTGAGGCTCAAAGAGAATCTTTTGCGGGATGCTTTTGCTTTTGGGTTCGCCGATAAATTCCAGACCGAAGAAGTGCCACACGACCACGGAGACAATCTCTTGACTAGAGAAACTGACGGAGTCGCTCACTCGTTGCTGAGCTGGCGCGCCAGCGTGACTTTCATCGCGGCCGCCAGGTCCAGGTCCAGGAGCGCTTTCACCTCCGGCGTTCCCCCGAGGCGCGCACTCTCAGGCGCGCACACGCCCTCGATCAGCAGCAGTCCGACGAGGGGCATCGGAAGGAACCGGGCGGTCATGAGCAGTTTAGACTTCCAGGCGGAAATGCCCTCGGGGAGGTTCCCCCAGGGCATCTTGCGGCTAGCGGCGCTGATGGTCTTGGCGAAGCTGAAGAGGCCCTCTTTGCGCTCCTTTTGCATCTTGATAAACCTGCGAAGGAGCCGGGAATTTTCAGGAGGATTGTTTGAAGGGCGCTCCTTTT